CCAAGCTACACCACTCACCTGCTTGTGTGCTTTGTTTTCACGATTTAAAATATTTAGGGGTCTAGACCCCGATGGCTGCCCAAAGTAGTATGATGGATGGGACTTAACAACACCGTTGATTTTCACGATTGGTTGTAGCCGAAATGTAATATCAATACTATTAGCGTGCAACTGGCTGTAGTAATCAGTTAAGATATTCTTGGCTTCGTTATCAGCGTTTGATAGGCTTGGGTCCATGTCTTCATCAAAACCACTCATTAACCCATGCTGAGCTTCACCATTAGCTGGGGTAAAATCATTTATGTGTTTGGTTTCATTGCTACCAACTAGTTCTAACTCGAGGCCCCTGGCTTTAGTCATATTAATGAAAGATTGGAATGTCATTATCCAGTTCACTTTCTGAGTGATTGCTTGCTTCACACGATCGCTATCTTTCCCGTAAACGCTAATGCTATTGCCATTGATCCAAACATAGCCATCTTTGTCAATAGGAGAAGATTTTGCGGAACCATTAAGAATTGGTACAATCTTCTTTATCAATCCGTTAGATTCAAGGACTTCCCTATTTTTGCTAATTGTCCAAAAACTAATTTAAGCTTGCTGTCCATTTGATCGAATCTTGTGGATGTTCCAGTATCGAACACAAAACTGTCGTCAAGTCTCTGCATAGAGCGGTTTGAATAATCTCCTTCTGAGGCATTGATTCTTTTTCTTTTTGAGCCAATATTTTGCCAAACCTGGTATGGGCTATTTTGTCCTCTTTACCCATCTCATTACGTCGCTCCTTCTCATTGACGTATGCGAGGAATCTGACATCATTAATTAATACCTCACCAATATGGTCATACCTCTCAGACCAATCAATGTTCGGAACTAGTACATATTTTCTCAGTTTAATACTGTACACCTTAGCATCCATCCCAATATAATACTTAGTAAGCTGCCGGCCGTTGGAAGCAATAGGGTGAATATGTAGTTCTGCAAGGATGGGGTAAACCTCGAAGATTTTAGCGACCGCTTCCTTTGACTTTGTTTGATTTTTCATCTCAGCATTGCCTTCGTCGAACAAATCTTCTTCGACGGGCTTTTGCGGCAGTGGACTATCAGGGCCAACACCAGCATCTGTCATTCTTGCACTATTATCAACTCCAACATCAGTCATATCGGGGCTCACGTGGACCCAACCATCACTGGTTTTGGGCTTAGCAGTACTGGAAGCATCAACGGACTGAAGCTTTGCAGTAGTCGATGCATCGTTCATTTCAGGTGTTACATTAACTTCAGCATCTACCATTGTTGAGGACTCAGTTTTTTTTGGGCGTTTTCAATATTCAGACTTTTTTTTAACTCTTCCGGCGTAGCCTCGTCAGGGCCAACCGAAATATCAGACTGAGCGGATTGTGTTGATTTCTTTGGAACAGTAGTGATACCATTCGCGATATCGCTAGCCCATGATGCACCTTCGTACATAAGGCGCTTGGACTTGGCTTGACGAACTCGGCGCTCAGCTCGTTCGAGTAGATCCTGCCGCTTTTGCTCTCGTTGAGCGAGGGATGTAAAGTTGGGAACATCGTCTAACTATATCATGGTAGTCATAAAAAAATATTAGCATCGATTAAATACATACTCACCAATAGCTTGGCATAACGGAGTCATGCCTAAATGGTTGATACGTATGACAGACACGGTTTCGCTCATTGAGGAGATTAATGTATCGATCCTTGATGCAATGAAACGGCACACCAAATATCGTTTCTAACTGGTCGCGGTACTGTAGATTGCACACGGTTTTCCGGAAATTGGCTACTGGGTCTAAATCTCTGAGTTCATTTTTGATTCGACTAACCTCTTGAATTATCCACAGCTTTCTTCGGAGCTGTACAAGCTCACGTTGATTCTCTCGCAGTTGCAACACATTATATATATGAAGCCATATATTTTTAAGCATTATTTTCGGAAAATAGATTGATAGATATAGATGAGTCAACGCTTACAGAGGATTGCTCTATTAAACTCATTTCGAAGCTAGTTCGACTCACTTTTTTTCGACTTCCAGTACTCATTCTCTAAGGTTGATCTATTGTTCTTATTGACTAATCTAAGATTATCTTGTGGCTCCCAGGAGTCATTTTCATTACCGACCCACTGAACGAGATACTTGTACTTGCCGGATCGCATCTTTTTGTGGTCTAAGATCTTCTCCACCTCTAAAATATCACCTCTGTTGATAGTAGCTTCAGATGTTTCTGCTTTAACAATTTTTAGATCGTTTGACCCCTTGTAAAGAGTGTGTCCGTTTTTCGACTTGATTTGGATGCGGTAGCCATCAATACCTACCACCGAATACACAGCCTTAGACCATCTTGCTGCTTCTTTATCAAATGTTTTCTTTTTTAGTCGATACAAGACCTTTTCACCGACCTCGAACTCGTTTTCAATACTCTCGGCTTCAGCCTGGTTGTGGACTAGTTCAGATTCAATTACCTTACCTTTAGCTTCGTTGGGGGTCATACCAACCGTCCGATGGGTCGTGCTATTGTAGTTCTCAATAACAGCAGCTATGAGCTTCTGGGTTAGTCGCTTTGGTTCGATTTTGACAAGGCGCTGCTTCAGAGTTCTATTGAAGCGTTCAATTTTACCCATTTTGGCGTGATCTCCAGGCTCATTGTTGAAATGGTCAATTTTCTTAGTTTTGAATAATTTCTGAGCCTGTTGGTTCATGAATTCTGAACCATTATCGGTTGTGAGAATGTCAACCTTATGGAGGCGGACAAAAACCCGAATTGCTGCTAGTGCGGTCGGGCCAGTTTTGTTGGTTAGTAGTTTTGCGTAGCCTAGGCGAGAGTTGATGTTGATCGCAGTCAAGATTGGTCTTTTCTCCCAAAACGCCAAGTCCATCTGCCACGAATCGGGGTTAGTCGATGCGATTTTGAACCCATCGTATCGCTTCTTCTGCTCCTGAAATCGCTGAATATCGCTCTGGTTTGAGTACCATTCCTTGACGATTTTCATCGTAATCTTCGGCTCCAGTTCATTAGCCTTCTGGTATAAGGCTTGGGCACCCACATAGCCCGTTTTGGGGTCATAGTATAATTTGGACAACAGCTGATCCATGGCTCTATATGGTTATAAAACAAAAAAATCCCCTGCCAGGTAGTTGCTTGTATGTCAAGCGGTTCGGTGGTGATACCATCCGCAAGTACACGACGCTTGTCATAATAGTAGTTTAGAGCTGTTTTAGTCTGGGTGTACGTAATGATTGACTTACTCTCCTTACTGAGTCTAAACCCCTTGTTGGTGCCCTGTAGCGTGATGCGATCGCGAACAACTGATTCAAAGCCATCTGGGTTGAGGACGTCGCCATTGCGGCCACCACTCTGCTGGACTCCCTTCGCTGAAACCTTGACCTTGTAAGATTCGTCTGGTAGGTAGCAAATGTAGTTCTTAGAGGACAATGATACCATAGCATCACCAGACCACTCATCCTTGAACAAACCTGGCGTTCGGCGTTCAAACTGAGCCATCTCTTCGCTATAATCACGTGGGAACCACTCGTACTTATGCTGCTGAAAATGCTCACGAAGCTCGGGCTTGATACACTCAACGAATGGCTTCTCACAGCTGAACGCAATATAAGCCGAGTCTGTGTCCATTTCTTGGTACTGGAATTCCGAACGGTCGAAGTAGAAGTCAATGCAATCATAGTAGAATTGCAGCATACGGAGCTTAGCGAGCTGATAGATTGCAATCGATAGATGAATTGGGTTCTTATTGTTGAGCTTTCGCTTCTTCATAGTGAATTCACATGAATCATTCAGCTCTTCCATTCCATGGAAGGTGAAGTGCTCAATGTTGGCCTTGATTGCCTTATCGTCCGACTCATACCTGACCTCCTTGTGCTTGCTCATGTCCATGCCAGATCGACCAAACGCACTATTACCAACCAGTTTCATCATCTCAGCAATCATAGCCTTATTATTGCTACCCTCACTAAGCGTTTTCAGCTTAGTCAACAAGTCTAGAACCAAATGAATCTTAGGATTGGTTGTCGATTCATTCATGAATCTATCGATAATGAGCGCATCAAATGATTTAGGGTTCGTAATGGTTTTTTTCAACTCTTGGACTAAATTATCCATATCAGAGTCACATACCTTCGCAATAATGATCTTACAGATGGATTTAACATTTTCATCACCCTCTCGTCGCGCGCTCGATACGGCTTCCATGAATGGTGCAAATGCCTTGTGAGAGCTAGCCTTGATGAAGCTGTAAGTCTTGGTGATCTCCATACCATGAGAAATGTACCATTTGAGTAGCGGTGCATAAATGAGGATCTTCTCACCAAAGTAGCTCCCGATGAGTTTGCGAGCCGGCTTTGCTCGGCTTTGCTTGCGCTCCTCGTTGTACTCGAACATGTGCTGACCGATGACACTCCGATCGCTGCAGTCGATAAGGGTGTTCTTGAAAATTGGGGTCATTTCACTGAAGTAGGGTTTGAGGTGCTCTGGTGTACGGATATCACACTCGAGGAAGCCAAAGATCTTGTCATTTACAATATCATACGATCCCTGTGTATGCTTCGACGGTAGTCCACCGTCCACATGGCATCTCATTACCAAGAGCCCACAAATACAGAGCATTAGCATCGTAGCCGATGATCTTTTTGCAGATCCTACCCCCTCGAATCTTGGTCTCGTTGCGTTTCGCGTATCTGTTGAAGATGATAGAAGGACCACCAGCAATGTTCGCCTTCATCTTGGTGTAGATGTCCTTCTCCTCTCTATCGATACTGTACACCAACCTGTCTGAGTTGAATTCAAGTAGCTTCTTGTGGCGGAAGCCCTTTAGCGGCATGTTCTTGCGAGCAACGTTGCATCCCACACAGCTGATCAAGATATTACCATCGATGTGTCCGAGCTTATTATTGATTCGGTCAGCCGAGGCAGTATCAGCTGTGAGTTGCTTGTAGCATAGCCCACACAGGTATTTTTGTCGCTCTAGCAAGTCGTTGAGGTGTTCTAGCGTCATATTGCATTCACGATCGGCATCAGCATCCTGGGTCTTATATCCACTTAAGCGACTAGCGGGAAAGTCAAACGCTTCAGCAGGCTCCTTACTGGGTTGCTGGAGGTTGTTGAAGCACGTCTGATACATGGCTTTCTCAGAGAGACCAGGTAGCGACACACCATCAGTGAACATATCAAGTTCGAAACGTTTGAATAGTTCTCGCTGGGCTTTGATGGCCTTGATGAAGGGTACTACATCGAGGTTGTTGTACCAAATGAGTAGATCCTTGATTGACTTCATGCCATAGTGTTCCCAGACGAACTGTACCCGCACACAGTCCTCATCGCTGATGCTAGTGCTACGAAGAGCACTGTCGAACGCCGACTTAGGAGGGACTTCCGTCTGACTGAGTACGTCAAATGAAGTAATGTACTCGTACGGGAAGATGCCTTTTCCTAGGCCACAGACGCATCGAATCTTGTCATTACACTTGCACTCACCGAGATATGTCGACAAGTACTTTGCATAGCTGGTGCCTGCCGGAACATAGTTGCTAATGTCAAGCATTTTCATGTCTGACGTGGCGATGCACATGTAGCTAGGATTCTTGATGACTGATGTGATGTTGTCAGTACCGATGACTGCAAACAGGTCCGCCTTGATGAGGTCGATGTCGTAGCGTCCAGAGTTGAATCCGAATACTGGTACCTGACCAATGCACTGCTTCAGCTTGCCATAATCCGAGCGCTTCTTACCGAACGTGAGCTTGCTGTGGAAATCGAAGAAACAAGCAAACTCCCCGTTCTGAATCCAAGCATGGACATCATCCATCTTGTACGTCTTACCCAAGTCTAGACCAGGAACCTCAGCGTCAGTCAAACCATGGACGTTGATGATTTTGCGGAGCAAAGACTCGTACTTCGAGACGTTGTACTGCTGAATCTTAGCCGCAACTTCCTTGATGTACTGGAACATATCCTTGAGCAACTCCTTCGGGTCATCGCTGACAAAGCATCGCACCTCCTCAGTCAAGCTGTCGGCCACGGAAACAGACACAGGAATGTGTTCGTTTGTGAAGATAGTATTCTCTCCGTTTTTGACACCCGTAGGCTTGAGGATAGCCTCAAAATCATAGACAATGAAGTGACCGATGTATGGTCAGCATCCTTGATGGAGTACTTAGTCAGCATGGAACGAATGCTGTTCGAAGCGGGTTAGTAGATGGTTGGCTAAGCTGGGAACGATTCGATGTTCACGAGTTCGCATTGGTTCTTAGTGTGGTTGCGTAGCTTATCAGAGCTAACAAACACCATCTCACACATAGAGCATTGGTACTTCTGCTGGAGCATACCAACGTTCGTGATGTAGAGAGCGTGATTCTCGTGCGACAGGATGTTGATCGAATCATAGTCCTTGTCCGAGCAGCGAATGCATTCAACCTTGCCCGTCTCAACATCCATGTTGAAGACGTTGATGTTCAGCTTGAAGCACTCCTCAAGCTCATCGAATTGGAGAATGTCGATAGCTTGAAATTGCGGAACAGACCCAGAGTGTAGGTGATCTCCTTGTACGAACAGTACTGCTTGAAGGCTTGTTTCACCAGAGCCTGGATTCTGCGAGGATCCTTCTTGGCTCCCTCCTGCTTGTGATAAGCAATGCAGTGGAAGACACACTTGTTGTTCGTCTTGGGGAAGTTGATGACGTGCTTGTTATTACGAATCGCCTTAGGAATGACAGCCTCGCTATCACCCAGAGCATGTTCGCGTTGGTAGATATAGATTTTGAAGCCAGTAATCCCCTTCACCATGTACCCGGAGCTGGGGTAGTTGATCTTGTCAGCCAACTCCATGGAGCGAATCTCCGAGACCACCTTCTTACGAATATCAGCCTTGCTGTTGATAGCTACAGGAGTGCTAAATACAGACGTGTTGCTAATATTCGGGTGGAAGTAGCAAGTCTCGCTGTCATCAGTTCTGCTGACAAGCTTGTATCCAAGAGCGATGTTGACCTTGAAGGCAGACTTCTGGGTTGCGAGCACGTTCTCGAGCTTGTCGTAGAACTCAGCAGGCTGAATTCCCTCGTAGAGGTGCGACTCCATGTTCTTGCCTTGGTAGAAGCGGTACTTACTGTCTTCCTTGAAATCAGCAGCCACCTTCTTTTGGAGCTTGCCTAGACTGATCTGGTACTGCTTCGCTACCAATTTTTGGTTGGTGGGGTGGGAAATGTTGCTAATGTATACCATGCGCCCCGTCTTGCCACGTACCTTAATACGGTAGCTACTACCCATCGAATGGGTTGAATATTTAATCTCTTTAATCCTTCGAGTTCGTATGCAAACATGTTGCCTATATATGCTTGACTATATTATTCTCCGTAGATATGACTTTATAATTATTTGACCTTGTATCAGGATCGACTTTATATCTTAGTCATTTACAAAATATTCTGAAATTAATTAATTCAAATATTTGGCTTATACCTTTTTGGAGGTTTTAAACCATTGTCTTTGACTATATTGGGATTGACTTTTTGAGAAAAAAAATTAATTAATTCATTAAGTTCGGTTTCATTATTAAGTTCGACTTCATCAATAAGTTCGGTTTTGGGTTGACGCTTGCGAGCTGATTCTTGTCGTCGTAGCTCTTTTGGTACAAGCGAGCGACGCGTGTGCGCTGATAGTAGCGCTTCTGTGCTGCTTTGATGCGTTCCTTGCTAGCTTGGTATTGCTCAGGAGAGTACGCCATCATTGTATATTACTAACTTTATATTTATTAGGATGAAAAAAATGTCACTGCCCCTTGTGACATCGCCGATGTTCCTTGCCAGCTAAACCAAGTATTAATGGTGAAGCAGAGAATTGGCAGAATCGTGTATTATAAGTTTAAAGTAGTGTCGACGGACCGCCACGTCAAAATGAAGCTATCCGGTCCTGTAATACTGCTGGGTCCAAGCACACACGTAGCTAGTTGTCTTCCGACAGGATGGAGTAAATCATGCCCGCAATCTGCTTCACTGATTCAGGTGCAGGAACGTCATTCTCCATCACCATCATCACGGGTGTCGCACGCTCAATTCTTTCATCCAGACTTCTCGAGAAGACCCATTCCAAGAAGTTCGTGACAATGCTGTACACTTTCGGCAGTCCTTCTACATCCGCAAGTGCTTCACTTCCCACGTAAGCTTGAGCAAGACCCTGCTGGAAATCGTCACGTTTCGCTTCCACAATGCAAACTCGTTTCTCGCCGCGCTTAAGCACGAACTCAAAGGCTCCGTCTCCGTGAACACGTTTCCCAATCACGGTTTCTTCGGCCAGGATTTGGACGCCTCCATCGAACAGCGCACAGACACTTGCAAGCACGGGCACGATGAAGTGCAGTCGCTTTCCAGTAATGATATCTCCAAAAGCCTTGATCAAGATAGGAAAGTATCTATGCAGCGCATCAAGCTTTTCGTCAGGGATAGGCTTTGACGATGGTCGATACTTGGTCGCTGGCATGATGCTGTCAATCTCCGGGAACGACACGTACGAGAAACCCGTGGAGCCGGCAGCCTTCTTCGCTTTCTTGTTCTTATCAAGAACCTCGTTCAACTTGTCCCATCGTCTCTTGCGACTCGGGTGCGGTGCAATTTCAGCGTCCTGGACTTCAAGGCACTCCCGATCTGCAACCACCAGCACGTGAATCTGGTCCGTTGATGGCTTCAGCATGCCCTTCAACACTTTCTGCAGGCCAGACTCCCCCTGTAGCTCCTTCTCTTCGCTTGTTAAAGCCTCAACTGCGACAGTCTTCTCGCCCTTCTTCAGCTTCTTCACATCTTCTGAGTCGGACACGAGCCACGCGCCGCCCTCCGTCTTCGCCAGGAAGAGCTGCAGCTTGTCTGCGTCGATGTCCTTGAAGTCGTTCTTCTTCTCCGCCTTGATCGCGTCCTTCAGGTCTCCCACCGACTGACCCGCGTCAATGTCCACAGGAAACGCACTGCCCGCCGCACCAACGATCGCACAGAAGAGCTTCACCATCTTTCCTCGAGCCGGCAGATTCTGGAATGAGGAAGAAGGATGTAGAATTTCTGGCGTACTTAAGCGAACATGAAGGTGTGTGACATAGATTTTCAACCAATGATGAGACGCCACGTCGCGCTGGTCCGAACTACTAGTAAAATCTGCCGGCGTAATGTTCTATTGGTTTATCAATGTGGTTTGAACGAGCGGTCCCGAAACGCCCTAAGGTCCAAAAGACGTGGCTCTCGCTATAAAGTGGGCGTCGTCAAATCAACGTCTATTAGATCTGACCGGTTTAGAGGTTCTAAAACTACCCTCATATCGAAAAGACGTGCGAGCTCGAATCTGGTCTCTATTCTTGTCACCGTTGTCTTTTTGATAAGATAAACGGGCTTCGCGTGTGCGCTGGTAGTAGCGCTTCTGCGCTGCTTTGATTCGTTCCTTGCTAGCTTGGTATTGCTCAGGAGAGTACGCCATCTTTGTATATTACTAACTTTATATTTATCAGGATCAAAGTATGTCAAGAAATCAAATACTACTTCGAAGTATTTAACTCGGGAGCCACATTATTCCATTCAATCGACCGCAGGAGTCATATCCCAAAAGCTTCTCCAACGCTCCGCATTATCGTCGTGCTTCCACCTCATGCACAAACAAAATGTTTCTGGATCCTCCACGTGAACAAACGTCTTCATCATGAGCGGATCGTCCGTCCTGGTTGATCCTCCTTTCAAACGACTGAAAACGCGATCTGTGCACTGAGCATCCAGAACCTTCACGAAGACCTCGACCTACACGCAAATGTCAGTAAACTTACACACACCAGAACTACGCGCTCACACAGTACCTTGCGTCTGTTGCCAATGGATTGATTCTCTTCAACAGATCCGGGTAGCATGTTGACGATGGGAACCTCAATGCTCATACCGTCGAACCAACCATGCATTTCGCGAGAAAGCGCAAGCCTGTTGTTTGAGTCGCGATCGTACTTGGCGAATTCCCGTTTGTGGTCTCTGCTTTGCTTTCTCGACACCAAATGGCAGCTTTCTGCCTTGCCGTACGGTAGGAAGAACTTCTCGTCCTCAATCCGCTGAAAACGAAACTCGTCAGTCGATGAGTCCAGATTCGAAACGCTTGTAGTCAACGATATCGATGAAACTGTTTTGAGGAGATTCCGAATCGTCTGGAACGTAGTCGCAGTAGAAGACGCGCTGGAGATCAGTAGACACAGCGTTAGCTGGTGCAACACGCGTCTCAACAACCTGGTTAGTTAACGGAGAGCCCAGCGTTTGTGGCCCAGTCCTTAAGTCAGTTTCGAACAGCAAAGCAGCATTTTCTATAAAAGAAACAGAGTTAGCCCTCAATGAAGCAGTATTACGATGCAGCGACAGCATATAGAAGCACGTACTTGTCTCGAATAAAACATGAAAACACAATTTCTTGTCTTCATACCAAAACGCGACATTCTTGTTGCCGATGCAGCGCGTAGGATCGTAGTATCCAATGCGTAACGTCGCCATCCAGTACAGTTTGCAGCGAATCCCTTTCGTGTTCAGCGCGTTGCCAACGGATCCAGTGACAAGCCACAATCCAGTTTGTGCGTGTTCTTGCTCCGGAACCACCACCAGCACGTGAATCTGGTCCGTTGGTGGCTTCTGCATGCCCTTCAACACTTTCTGCAGGCCAGACTCCCCCTGTAGCTCCTTCTCTTCGCTTGTTAAAGCCTCAACTGCGACAGTCTTCTCGCCCTTCTTCAGCTTCTTCACATCTTCTGAGTCGGACACGAGCCACGCGCCGCCCTCCGTCTTCGCCAGGAAGAGCTGCAGCTCGTCAGCAGGGAACTGGTACATCTTCTCCGCCTTGATCGCGTCCTTCAGGTCTCCCACCGACTGACCCGCGTCAATGTCCACAGGAAACGCACTGCCCGCCGCACCAACGATCGCACAGAAGAGCTTCACCATCTTTCCTCGAGCCGGCAGATTCTGGAATGAGGAAGAAGGATGTAGAATTTCTGGCGTACTTAAGCGAACATGAAGGTGTGTGACATAGATTTTCAACCAATGATGAGACGCCACGTCGCGCTGGTCCGAACTACTAGTAAAATCTGCCGGCGTAATGTTCTATTGGTTTATCAATGTGGTTTGAACGAGCGGTCCCGAAACGCCCTAAGGTCCAAAAGACGTGGCTCTCGCTATAAAGTGGGCGTCGTCAAATCAACGTCTATTAGATCTGACCGGTTTAGAGGTTCTAAAACTACCCTCATATCGAAAAGACGTGCGAGCTCGAATCTGGTCGAGAGGGGTCGTCGTTGAAATCGCTGCTGTCCCGAAAGAAGGTTTCAGGAATGTTCTCGGTGGTAAATTACGGTAAGGAAAAAAACTGCCGGCGTAATGTTCCATGACCCACTACTTTCGAGAGTGAAGCATTTCTTCACCCGCTCAAGTCTTCTCAAGGGGTTATGAAGATTGAGCTACCGCGTTTCAAGTTGACATTCAGCGCCAACGATAACGCACAGTTCGAGTCGGAGGAGCACAAAGGATACGTTTTGTCAACGCGCCAGCAGCTCGATGATTTCTTGCCCCGCTTTAGTCAGTACTTGGTACTGGAGCTGAAAGACAAATCCGACACGTCGAGGGCGGTATACCGCATACTTCTTCCGGTTGGTCCCGTTGAAGAAAAAGGTATGGTGGTTATCAGTACTTCTACTCAAGCGGATACCCATGTGGATGTTGCGTGCTACGATATTCACCGCCGACTGAAAACGTTCGAGACTGAGACGATCAGCGCGGGGCCATCAACTTCTACCTGAATACGTGCGTGTTCCCCAAAGACACCCAGCAGTATCCCCAACGACTCTCACGAACGATGTCAACCTGACTAGTGTGGAGCTCTTTGAAACGGAAACCAGTGCTCATGTGTTGGCCGTACGGTGCATGCAGTGTATCACGTGGTGCGATTCCTATCACGTGATATTAACGCGATCAACGTGGTCGGCCATAATATGGCATATTATGCTCATTACTTGTACCGACACAGCGCTCTTCGTGTTCATTCCAAGAAGTGGAGAAGACTACATGTATTGTACACTGGTGCTACGAGAGCAACTCACCTCCTGCCTCACAGGACGGTATGTATAGGGATGAGCAGTTATTGAGCCTCAAAAATTGAGAGTGTAAGTACAGTATTAGTACACGTAGACGCATAAACACAAAGTAATCACTTCGTTCTTCACACGTCCATGACGAAGAATTTGTACAAGTACATTTATCATCGCACGAATGACTACATACCTGTATCCTATAATCTGTCCGCTCTGCCTCCAGCTAGACTCAACAAAAGTTACTCAGGAGTCGTATACCTCTATACCTTATAAAAGAGCTGTCCTCTATCGGCCGATGTTCGTTTGCCGCTGAGTGGTACCCACTTTTCTCTTTATCGAGTGTAGTTTGAACCAATGTCATTGGTATCGACCTGAAATGTTGAGTCAGTCCGACGTGCCGCTCTACTGTGTACAGTATCCGAGAAAAATGCGCTAAGCTGCAACGTGCCCCCCCCCCGCTTACCTGTTGACATGCAAACTGTTTGCCGCTATATACGGTGTGCCTGCAAGCCACACGGTGTGTCGATGCCTTACGTTTACCCACCGAGCAGATCCCGAGCTTCACCACGCGATCGGGGCTCTGCAACCATAAATCCTGCATTTTCATGCGAACCAACTTGAGGGTGGCCCCATTTCAAGAACTGCTGATGCTGTTCATTCTCCAATTTCCTAGGCAACAAGTACCTTCATCAGCATTGAAGCAAGCCGCCACCATGGTTTACAAGCCCAGCGTCTACCTCGTCTCGGCTGCTGTCGCCCTCGTGACACTTCAGATGGATCAAGTCACCTCTTCCTCGCTAGCGTTCGACCCATTCACCACGTGCAACTCGTACAACATTGGCGACGAGAGCTTCCCCGGCCGCGGCACTGAGATCCCCGACGACGGCAACTGCGTCGTCACCCTCCCCCTGGCCCCGAACGTGCCGCCCATGCCCTCAGCAGTTTCGCCCATGTCTGTGCTCGACACGAGCTTGCTGTCTAAGGCTGCTGTGTCTCCGTCCGAGCCAGTGTTCACCAAGGTGGGGACGCAGCTCATGTCGGAGGAGACTCCTACCACTGGAGCCGACCAGGACGAGTACGTCGCCAAGGAACAAGCGACCAACACATCTCCTGCTTCTATGACACTGCTGGTCGTAGACTGGAGTGGACTTCGGAAGACGATATCACTACTCTTGAGAAATATTTCGGCAAGACGATGGAGCTCAAGCTCAAGAATCTCCCTACCAAGGCGGTGTACAAGCCGTCCGCATGGGCGGGCTCGAATTGGCCAGTCTACCAGGATAGCATCAACTACACGTGGAACAAACGCCAGCCCAGTCCCGCTGAGAAATACGCAAAGGTTTTTGGTTTGGACGTGACCAAGTTTATGAACGCTGTGTCTGCGAACAATGGCGTCGACTCCAAGGCGAAAAATCTCAAGTGCACAATAAACAAAGAGGGCTATGACCCCAAGGTTGACACCGTCTGTGCTAAACGTGCTGGCAAGCAGTCGGGCTGCTGCATTCTGACGTGGTACGGCATTTACCATGCGTGGGCCCCGGCCTCAATCCTCGAGAAGGAGCCCAACTGCCCCGTGACGTTCAACGGCGTGACCTTCCAGCCCATGGACATCAAGGCGCTGGTCACGGACGTCTACGACGACGCCCAGATCTCTACCGTATTCACTGGTTCGCGCTATAACAACTATGAGGATTCGATCGTCGCGTACGGCGGCCACACGGACTACTCGTACCGTGACCTGAACCCTGGCTCCTTCCACATTGCCGCCACGAACCTCCTCGGTCTGTTGACCACGACCTTCATCATCGACAGAGACGCCGGAACAGAGGTCTGGAACCAGCCTGTCGTCGGCTTCAAGGTGTACGAGTAGACGGCCATGACTCCGCAGGAGGCTGCCAATACCTTCTTCGGTGTCGGCTCGTACGATTACTGGGACCCGAACGCCACGAGCATCGTGTACGTCAAGTCGCGTCTGTCGTGGATCAACGAGACGCTGGCGGATGGCGGCCTGGTGGCTTCGGGTCGTAACAAAAGTACACGGTGGGGGCGTACTACGACTACCTGCTGGGGCTGGACGATACCGAGGAGATCATTGGCGGTGAGTGGCTCTACGAGTCGAATAACAACCACCCGGACTTCTTGTGGCTCGCGACCGGAAAACCGGCTGCTACAACCGTCACCAGCATTGGTCTGAAGTACGCGGACGTGACGATGCTGCTCGAGAAGGCGGTGGCATGCTCTGGTACTCACTCGCCTTAGAGGCCTAAACACTTCGGTATAGTCACCCCGCAATACCGAGTCGGCATACGAGATAGATAACATTCGCGGCCAATACTATCAAATAAACTGATGGTACGATCAACTTCATTGTTTTGAGGAAGCCTTTTGGTGGACACTTTACTTCTACCAAAAGATCACGGAGTTTGTAGACTGGTTTGTACTCGAATTATCCTTACGTATTGAATTCCACGACCATTTTTTCCCCTTTTGTACGCGTCATGCCGCCCTGGTTGAACTTGAAAAAAAAATTATGGTGAGAGTACCGTCAGGCAGTAACGACTACGCTCTACGCTTGAAGTGGGGCATCGGCGAGAGTCTCGAGGATGACTTGACCCCAGAAAGCCTCCAACGTTTTGAGGACATCGGACTCAACGACTTGGCCCGTGATGCGGTTAGCTACAACCAGCACAGCTGTAGTGGCTTGGATAGACCCGCGACTACGTTGCGCCAGGTCCAGCCTGGCAGCGAAGAAAATACAACAGAGGCAGCGCCTGTGTTAGTTTTCACCATACATTCTAAAGTCTACAGACTACTCATTCGCACAGGTGGAAGGTCTCCATTTCGACCGTGTGGAGATCTGGGTGCGTCTTCGTCAGGTCCTCCACGAGGTGCTCGTTGCGGTCGTCAAAATCGGAGTCGAGACGACCTACAGAGACACGAAGAAAATGTTATACATACACAACTCGGAACAGAGCACGAAAGGAGCTGGGCGTCACCCTGGGAGCTGTAGAAGGAGCAGGCGGTGGCGTTCAGTCCATCAAACACGCCAACTCTGTCGCGGTCACTAGAAGCACCAATCGCAGGCTCAGTACGGAGCGCGCCAAGTTTGCTTTCCATCGAAGCGACAAGCTGTAATCACGAAAGCTAAAGTCAACGTGTGCGGAAGCACCTCCATACAACAAGCACAAGGCTACCGCTTTAGACAGTGCTGGAGATGCGGGCATGACTCGTGATACTCGGTAGCAATCTTCGCCAGCTGCGTCAGGAAAGAATGCGTCCGGGTTGCGCGTTACCATCACGGAGCCTTTGCCGCTCACCACGACGCTACCCGGAGTAACTTCCTCTTGCACACTTCCACATGTACCAAACCTGGCTTGAGCAGCACGGCCGTGCGTTAGATAAGGCTTCTGGGCAAAGATTATAGTCGCATAACAGTCCCCACACCGGATAATACTCATCGGGCCCTGGACAACCGCTCGAGTCTCCCGCACGACGAAGTCCATGTTGGGAACACCCTGCCCACGGAACAACAACAGCATCGTATCTCCCCTTCATCACAACGCCCACAACCAGATTGCCAGCCAGCCAGCCAGCCAGCCAGCGAGTCCTCTCGTACCATCCCAGTTGCAATGACGGAGACTGGTACCCCCTTCTTCTTGCCCGTGAACGTCGTGAAGCCTCTCGGCGACTCGAACGTGTCGAACTTGGCGTCGTCCAGCAACTGAGCCAGCAGCTTCGCCCGACTGAGACTCCCCACAGACACCACACGGTTGGCCACTTGGCCAGCCTTCACGCCCAGGTGCAGCACAGTGCTGTCGCTGTGCGTTGGCATCAGGTTGGTGTTCTGGTACGCCATGATCGCCGGGGGGAGGCGATTCTCGCAATGACACCGCCCAAGGCAGCTGCGTCTAGTGAACGAGTGAACACTTGCCTTTACTATGACCTCCGATCGGTTTAGACAGGCGACCCAAAGATCCGCGCGAAAGGTCGTTCGTTGATTGGCATCATGTAGTCTGCAATCCCCGCTGCCCCAAAGCCCCCCCCCCCTGCCTGTGCTATGCCATCAAGCGCGGACGTCGCCTCGCTACCTGCTGCGACTTCGGCCGCGCAGGAGTTCGCGTTCGTGTCGTGGGACGGCAGCGACGGCCGCCGCGCGTGTCCGCTGGCCACTTTCGGCTCTCGCGATCCGCAGACGCTGAGCGTGCGCCTTGCGTGTGCCGAGCCGCCGCGCGCCGACCAGCCGGAGCTCAAGAACGCGGCGGAGCTCCGGGGCGCGATCGCGTTGGTGGTGCGCGGGGGCTGCAGCTTCGCGCACAAGGCGCGGCTGCTGCAGCGAGCGGGGGCCGTCGCCATGCTGCTGGCCAACAACACGAGAGAGGAGCCGCTCGCTGCGTTCACCATGGGGGAGTCGCCCGAGGAGCTGGAGCAGAACAAGAAGACCGGCGCCGAGCCCATCACGATGCCCTGTGTGATGATGTGTCTGCGCGACGTGCGCGAGCTGTTCCAGAAGTTCCCGCCGTCGGTGAAGACCGGCGTGCTGAGCTTCGAGATCGTGCAGCCCAAAGAGGGCGAGGCTGTTGTGGAGGAGTGCTTGAGGGTCCAGAGAGAGCGATACGAAGCCGCAGAGGCGGGCAAAGGGTGGAAGACCATCAAGCGCACGACGACGTCAATCATCAAGTTGCTGGAGCCGCAGAACTCGCCGCCCACTGGTACGAACGCACCTCCAATGCCGAGAGCACAGGATGGAGAAGTCAAGCCAGAAGAGTCTACTGAAGATGCCGCTTCACAAGCGAATCAACCGCCTTTGCTCGCGTTCGTACAGTGGGCCACGAGCGCGTCGACGTACGAAATCTGCTTCGCCCCCCTAGCAGATTTTTGCTCTGCGCGCGCTGGAGCATCGTACTCAGGAAAACTCGTGGCGTGCGAACCTCTGCTCGCTGACGGACCTCTGAGTAACGCGGAGCAGTTGAGCGGAGCTGTGGCACTGATGCGACGTGGATCGTGCTCGTTCCCAGAGAAGCTGGAGCGAACCCAACGGGCAGGCGCTGTGGCTGCTATCGTGTGCAACGACGACGAGGAGGATTTGGACGCGGCGTTCGTCATGAGCGTGGACCATATCGACACCAGTAACGCCACGATCCCAGCCGTGATGATTTCTCACAACAGCTTCCTGCGGATCCAGTCAGCTGTGAACGCCACGACGACAAGGATACTGTGTCTCTCTGGTGAAGCTGCTGATGGACTCTTAGCGTCGAGTGGGAAGCCCGTCTCATTCAAAGATTTGCCCATTCCCACGCCAATGCCACCATCAGGGAAGGACGACGAGAACGAAGCCTTACCGGTTCACGATCCACTTTTTGATCTGCTCGTGGCCTGTCGCGATGGGGATCACGCTGCGTGTCAGCGCGTGTTGGCGACCGTGGAAGGGAAGGACGCTAAGGGCAAATTGGTGAGTGCGAGATGTCCCACGACCGGGTTAACGGCACTTCACTACGCTTGCGCTGCTGGGAATGACAACGTGGTGGAGCTCTTACTGAAGCTCGGAGCAGCTTCAGATACCGTCGATCTAGCGATGCAGACACCGCTACACGTCGCATGCGCCAACGGCAACGTCGAGTGTGCTCGTCTCTTGCTTCGCGCTGAGGCTTCTACACCTCAAGTGCCTACTGTTCTGTACAATGTGGACGAAGAGTACGGAGGGTTGGCGACGAAGAGGGATATTGGGGGCGGGACAGCGATGCATGAAGCCGCTCGCGCCGGATCTCCCGAGTGTGTCGAGCTGCTCCTGACGGCTAACGCTCGGGTGGACAACACAACCAGCGGGGCGACAGACAAGTACGTGTTTCTCGGCGTCAGCGCGACAGACTTGGAGGGCAGCACTCCGCTACACGTGGCGTGTGAAAGCGCCCAAGCTGAATGCGCGTTGTATCTGATGGCAGCCAACGCTGATGTGAAAGCCAAAGACTGCAGTGGGCGCTCGCCACTGCTTCTCGCCTGTGAGGCAGCGAACGACCCAGCGAAAGAATCGGATGCTGTCCAGATCATCGAGAAGCTACTATCGTTGGGGGCCAGCATGGAAGAGCTCAGTGACGACGACAGGTTGTGCAGTGCGAGTCTACTGCTAGATCGAGTGCAGTCTCCCGATCTTCGACGCGAGCTGGAAGTTTTGTACCTGCGCCACGAAGCGCAAAGCGCCCAAAAGAGCAGCAGAGCGCTGAGAAGGGAGAACGAGGCAGTGATCAATCGGATGCAAGATCTAGAGGATGAGGTTAACGCGCTTCGCAGTCTCGTAAAGGACCACGAAAATTACGGGCATCAGCTCCAACAGCTTCAGCTGCAGATGCAAATGATCCTGCATTTCCAGAGCAGCTACGGGATGGGACGCGCTCCGCCGTCTTCGAGCAAGAACACAGTAGCGCCACCGCTACTCGATGCAAGCCTCAGCGATCCTGCAGGAAAGAGCGACGGAGAGCTGGCCCTTGATGCTGCTCTTGCCCGTGATTTGGGCAAGAAGTGCCTCCGGCAGAGCCAGAGCGGGCTGGCTGAGAAGTACTTCCTGCGCTCGCTGGAGCTGATGCCACTCCCCGGTGTTCACCGACTTTTGGAGAGTGCTCGACAAAATATGCAACTGGAGAAGGAAAACGCAGCACAAGCTGAGTCATCACATACTCCTAACGGACACTCCGGCAGGGTACCCTTCTCATCGAAAGAGTTAGCGTCAACCAGCACGAAGCTGGTCAAGATTAAAACCTTGCGGGAGCAGGTCCAGGCAGCTCAAGCAGCACCGCAAGCTCGTCTCATGCTCGAGAACGAGCTCAACAAACTTGAAGCGCTTCCAGAAGGAGAGGAGTTTGAACACGCGTGTCACTGGATGGAGTGGCTGGTGGCGCTCCCCTGGGGAGACCCAAGCTCTGGGCTGCAAACCGATAGTCTCTACGATACGAAAAGGAGCGAGTTTGAGCAGCTCGATGCTATCGACTCAAAGCGAGTTGAAGCCTGTCGAAGTCACGCCGCGCGCATTATCCAGCGCACATTCCGCGAGCGCTACGCCCTTCACCTGCGCACGCGCGCAGCCGCAGCGACTCGGCTTCAGGCGACAGTGAAAGGGAAGCTGGCTCGCCTGCGCTACGAGTTAACAAAGCAGCAGCTGGAGGCGGATCGAGACCGTCGACTTGTCCAGGCTGCGAACCAACAGGACGGCTCGGAGGTTGCGACCCCCTCTCAAGTGGACTACGCTACGACTGTCGACCCCGCGATTCATCGGAAACTGCAGCAAGAGTACCTCGTGGAGGCGCTGGTTGTCGGCACCCGCTTCCCGAAAGAGCAGCCAAGCGGCGGCAAAGGTGACGGACGAGAGAAATCCTCGCGCGTGCTGCAGCTGGTGAAGGGCTCGGATGCAGGACCAACACTTCGTTGGAGTTCAAAGAAAACTGTGTCTGGGTCGTTCTTTTTCGTGTGGACTCGATGGGGGTCGGATCTGGACAAGCGATGCGAGTGCTCCCTCAGTGGGCCGTATGAGGACGAACAGGACGCTCAGAGGCGCTACGATCGGATCGCTAGAGAAGAAGAGGCTCGAGAGATTTTGGAGGAGGAGGATTCCCCCACTGAAGCAGAGGCGGCGTATGAAAGTGGGTTTGACTTTTTGAGGAATTTTGTCGGAGTAGGAGGATCGAAAGGCAGCGTTGCATCCGCCTGAAAATTTATGATTCATACTTATACTATGCTAGTGCCGGCGAACATCCTTTTGAGGTCTGCAGAGTGCAGGACGCAATCACCGCTCGCTGCTCACAACCCGTTCGCAAGTCTTCCACAGCTGACACTCACTTTTGTCACTTCATCCTGTCAGGCACGTCTTAGCTTGTTGGTTAGTGCTCACTCACCTAAGAACAAGCTAAAAGCCACAAGCAAGTCTAAGGGTGACTTCGATCCCCCGCTGAGAGAGCCCTCAAACATCGAGCTGCCCACTCATGCGCTTCATCTTTTGGGTCAATGAAATGCTCGGCCAGAACGCGGTCGATCTGGCGGTGAAGTGAAAACCCTCGAAACACAACCTTCACCATTTCTACAGTAGTCGGCTGCTCGCTCAGCTCCATGATCCACCTTTCGGCCGCTGCAACAATGGGGTTGAGGCTGCTCTTGAATGGCATCTTGCCACAAGTACTTTCGACGTCATTCACCCGGTCTAGAAGCACCTGGTAGACAAGGCAAACAGCCCTCTTGTCTTTGTCATTTCCCCACTGTTGGAGCGCTTGCTTTAAATTCTTCACATCGTAGTCAAACTTCTCGAACTCTTTGGCGTCTGGCTGGGCCATCAACTGGTTGGGATTCTCTGCAAACTGCTTCAGTCTCTGGACCGCCACAAGCAAGTGCATTCTTTCCGCTGGATCGAACGTGCACATGCCCTTGACAAGCTGCCACTGAGCTTCTGTAAACTGAGGGGGGCGTTGGGGCAAACCCCCCTTCTTCACGCGATGTTCCACAACCAAATTGTTGAGTCGGTTCCCCCACGGCAACTCGCCGCTCACAGCCTGGACGATGCACATCCCCAACGAGAAGATGTCGGCAGCGTAGGACCCCTTTTGCCCCGCCAAACACTCGGGTGCCACCCAGCGAACAGCCCCTGACCGCTTACCCTGAGTCATCGCAGTCACCGAGGCGCTCAGTCCGAAATCCGTCAGCTTGGCCTTCCCATCGCTACTCACGAGGATGTTGTCACACTTGAGATCACGGTGAACGATGCCGCGGGCGTGCAAATATTCCAGACCCAGCGCCGCCTCATACAGTTTCTGCCACACCTCGCTGGGGTTCGTAATCAGATACTTGTCCAGCGATCCATTGTGGGCTTCCTCACACACGAAAAAAGGGGTTCCAATGTGGCATCCGCCAAAGAGCTTAACGACATGAGGATGGTTCAGTCCGAACCACAGGTCAACTTCATGCTGGAACATCCGTCGCTGAGCATCCCTCAGTTCTGCAGCCATGATCACTCGCTTCACAATGACGTCGGAGCCCAGCCACTTGGCCCTCGACACCTCGCCATAACCCCCACGCGCGAAGACGACGTCGTCTTCCAGCTCGTACCAGCCAATGAACCACTCAGGCAAGGACTCAATTATCGAGCCAGGACGCATCGAGCAAGCCTCGTCGTATGCCTTGCGAATAATCTGCTGCTGGGTATCCGAATAGTTAGTGTTTTGCAGCTCTCGATGCAGCAGCGTGAGTAAATCTTCGGTCTCTGTCGGGTGGAGCAGCGTTAGCGTGTTGTTAACCTCGGATACGAACACGCCTAGCTGCCGCTTACGGAGCTCCGCCCACCGCTTCTTCATCTCATTGCGCACTTCAATTGGAGCCTCAACCAGGTTCATCAGATACTCCACCTGTCGTTGCAGGAAATCCACCGAGACGTCGCTTGCGCAGCTTGACGACAGGCGTTGGATAGGATTTGAGCACGCGTTTTGCTCTTCAACAGCAATTTGGATCGTGTCAAGCACCAACATCGCCTCGTCATAAGTGTTGGCAGTCACAGGGTTGCTCCAGCTCATCAACCGCTGACAAACGGATTCAAGGTCATTGTATAGTTCGCGATAGAGGACTTCAGTCGACAGATTGACCGACGCTTGAACGTCCTGCAGCTTTGAAACGAGTTCGCTGGCAGATATCGCCTCCCTTTGGTCTAGAGTTGCCAGTTCGACCAGGTTCTTCATCCGATGAATGACAGATGAGATGCTGCAGCGTAGTAAAGGGTCATCGCAACGCATGTCCTTCGTCAAACTGTTACAATCTTCGCGGAGTTCGTCAAGCGCCTCGTATCCGCGAAGTTTTAGTGCGACAGCATGCAGACAGTTCCCCAGGAAGAGGACGTCCAGCGCGAACATTTTAGCTTCTTGGGGCCCGGTCTGCTTGATAACTCTACTCGACGAAAAGTTGACCAACTTCGCCACGTCATCGTCGCTGATCAGAATATTTCTCAGTCGGATATCGGTATGAACGATTCCACGTTCGTGTAAGTACTGCAGACCCAGCGCGGCTTCGTACAAATAGCGCAATACTGTCGCGGTGGTCGCCATGTTCCAGTCCGAGTGAGAAGTCATTCTATCAACGTATTCGTCCAGCGATCCTTTGGCCATGAGTTCGCACACGAAGAGGTTGTAGCCTTCATGCACTGCGCCGTACAACTTCTGGACGTTTGGATGTCGAAGTCCGAACCAACGAGCGGTTTGCTCGTCGAACGACTCGTCCGCGTTGGGGACAGGCACGAAGAGCTTGATCGCCAATTCAGCGTCCAGCCACGTCCCACTGAAATCGCCCCCAATGTCTTTTGTCAGTACAAAGTCCCCCACTTCAATCTCTGTCGGCGGAATCGACCACTTGATCTGCTTCGTGACGGCGCTGGGGGCATCCAGAGAGCGCAGCTGGTCGTGGCTTAGCGCAGAAACAAGAAGCTCCTGGATCTGGCGATGACTGTGAGACGCCGCGTAGTCGAGCGCTGTCTTCTTGGAGTTATCGACAATAGCCGAATCTGCTCCTAGTGTTAACAGGAGCCTCACAGTGTCCAAGTCGCCATTAGAAGCGGCCAGCATGAGCGACGTTTGTCCGCGGTTGTCTCGCGCGTTTACATCAGCTCCGTGGTCCACCAGCATGTGGACAACCTCCAAGTCGCAGCTCCCCGACAAGCACAAGTGCATGAGAGTTGTCGATCCGTTGTTATCGCTCGCGTTCACGTCAGTGCCGTGAGTGAGAAGCATCTCCAGTATCTTTGCGTCCGGGTCTCCTGACTCGCAGACGTGGATCAAGGGGGTCCATCCGCGGTTGTCACGCACATTAACGTCAGCTCCGTGCTCGAGAAACAGCTCTATGAGGTCGTCATCGGCGCGGTCCGAGCGGCAGATCCGCATCAGCGGCGTCAGTCCTTCGTGTGTCTTGGCGTTCGGGTCCGCCCCAATCTCCAGCAACCACATCGCCAAGCGCAAGTAGTCGTTCGTCACTGCGAACCAGAGCGGGGTGCACCCGTAGGCCTCGGGCTCATTCACACACGCGCTGCCGTGTTCAACCAGAAGCTTCGCGATCTTGAATTGTCCCTCGGAGGCGGCAAACCTCATGGCGGTCGATCCCCCCGAGTCCTTCGCGTCAACGTCTGCGCCGTGCTCCAGGAGGAACTTGACCACGCTGAAGTGCCCGTGCCAAGTCGCGAGCATGAGAGGCGTCCACCCGTTTCCGTCCGCCTGATTCACCCTCGCGCTGCCCACCTCCACCAGCAGCTTGGCCATCTCGAGACGCCCCTCGCTAGCAGCGAACCTCAAGGCGGACGAGCCTCCGGTGTCTCTGGCGTCCACGTCCGCCCCATGCTGCAACAAATACTCGACCACGTCCACGTGTCCCTCCTGGCTGGCGAGGTACAGAGGCGTCCAGCCGTTCAGGTCCGCGACGTTGAGACTCGCTCCTCCTTGCTCGTAGAGCACCTTCAAGACGTCCAGATGTCCTTCACTAGCTGCGAACCTCACGGCGGTGGACCCTCCTCGGTCGGGTAGGTGCACGTCAGCGCCACGCTCGAGCACGTACTTGACCACGTCGAGGTGCCCACTCCAGCTCGCGACGATCAGCGGTGTCCACCCGTGCACTTCGCCGTCATTCAGATACGAGCACTCGTGCTCCAGCAGCAGTTGGACGACCTCCAGATACCCCTCACCTGCTGCGAACCTCAGCGCCGTCGACTCGCACTTGTCCTTCGCGTCCACTTGAGCTCCATAGCTCAGCAACAGCTCCACAACCTTGACGTGGCCGTGCCAAGCCGCCAGCATGAGCGGAGTCCACCCTTCGACTTCATCAGCTACTTCCACCGACACCTTCTGATCCACGACCAACTGCGTGGCCAGCTCGAGGTCCCCACTCTGGCAAGCCTCAAGCAAAGCCTCCATCGCGCCCACAACGAGAAATCTTGTCGAATGACCGGCCACCTCCTTGTATCTTGCCAACGCCTGCCGATCCTGGCTGCATCACTTCACCCCTGAGTTGCACCCTTCATGAAGCATTCCGTTGGGTCATTGCGGCTACAATACAATACTCGCGTTGCGCTGGTGTCGGTTGGTTACATGGAGCTATTCACGCCTCTCGAGGGGTTTCAATAGCGCGTTGGGCTGGGCCCACGGCAGCAGAGCATTGATCCGATGAACAACTCGCGCGACCACCCCGTGTTCCGGCGCCTGTCGCGGCAGCAGCTGATCGTGCGGCGCCGCAGCCTCGGGCTGCAGCCGCTCGTGCTGGACCCGGAGTTCGCCAGCACGCGCAAGACGCGGTGCAAGCACTGCGGCCGGCGCTTCAACCCCGTGTGGAAGAGCTACCTGTGCCACCTGTGCGGCCGCTGGGTCTGCGAGCCCTGCTCCAGCGTCGTGGAGCGCGAGCGCGAGCTGCTGCGCGTGCGCTTCGTGCGCTGCTGCGTGACGTGCACCAAGATGGTCAACAAGCTGCCGGAGCCCGACTCGCTGCTGCCGTACCTGGCCGTGCCCTACGTCACCGCGAGCTCGCACAGCCAACTCGGCCTGCACCTGGCCGACGTGCTGCGCACCAAGAGGGACCTGCGGGCGTCGGCGCTGCAGCTTTTGAACTGCCTCGGCCGGCCGCTGGGCACCAACACGCAGATCCTGGCCGACATCCGCGAAGAAGACTGGGCCGCGGCCAGCGCGCTGGTGCCCTCCAGTGTCTCGCTGGACCCGGCCAATCGCACCAAGAGCGGCAACCACCGACGCAGAGAGAAGCACCGCAACGGCGGCAGCGGGGCCAAGCCGGGCAACCCCGAGTGGGTCCAATTCGTCGTCCAGCAGTGCTTCGAGGTGTCGCTGCCCGAGCTGTCGCTGGACGAGTGCGTGGTCTCTGAGTCGGACGGCACTCGACGGTACCCGATCTTCTACGACGACGAGACCGACGTCCCCTTCGCCCCCACCTGCTCGAACGAAGCCGCTAGGGACGAGTGCATGGCCAAGTGCAATCTGCTCGGACGCGGAATCGCGGCACAGAAGGAGGTTCAACTGATCTGCCACCTCGCGGCCAAGGAGTTCGACGCGATCTGTGCGACCGTCACGGCCGTACAGGCCGACAGGCACTACGCCTTGTCCCTCGTCAACGACCCCTCGACCTGCGTGAGCACCGAGCGAGCCAAGAGCTTCTGCGCGCACGCGATGGTATCGGGGCTGCCGTTCCTGGTGCGGAACACGATGCTGGACGTGCGGTTCCGGACGTTCGCTTGTGTACGCGGCGACACTGAAGGCACCGCGAACCGCGTGTTGTTCTACTTCGGGTTCCCCATCGTTGCGGCGCACACGAACACCGCCATCGCCATGCTGTGCGTCATGGACTCGAAGCCCCGGAAGAGCATCACGACCATGCAGTACTCGGTGATGAAGAAGCTGACGGGGATTCTGTCTACTCTGTGGACGGACTAGTTTTGAATGACCAGTGTATTTGACGCGCTAGACTCGGCTGAAGCTTGCTCCTTTTCCCTCTCTTGCTGCTTTTGCAGCTCCTCCTGGTAAATCATGAACGGGGTTCGCGGCTTGGGCACGATCTTCGGGAAGCCCGCGCGTCCAAGGCACTCTTTGAAGCGCAAGCCATTGGCCAAGTGACTGCGCTTGAGTCGGTCGCAATGGACTTCATCACAGCACGCGTCGCAGAAGTACTTCTTCCCGCATTCAAGGCACAACACACTCGCCTCCCGCTTCGTCCCATGAGCTGCACACTCGGAGCAGACGTAGGCTTCGGTGGGGGGTTTGACGTCGCGGTTGATGGGGAGTCTCAGGGGAAGGACCTTTGCCAGCAGAGCTTGTCGCTTCTCCTTCTGTTCCTTGAGCTCCTTCTCCATTTGAGCGGTCTCCAGGGGGTGGCGCCACGTGCTGTGGTTGGTCTCCGCGTTCCAGTAGTAAGCCGTATACGGCGGCTCGTCCAGGTAGCAACGCTGCCAGCCCTCGCGCAGCAGCGCTGCGTTTTCCTCTGCAATCGCTGGGTCCGGAGCCTCCGTCGCGAGCGCGAATAGCGTCGAGAGAAGCTGGTCAGGGTCCCCGACGCTCAGCAAGTTGCAGGCGCTTACCACGAGGTCTTCGCGCTGGTCGACAAAGTGTTGCTGCTGTCGAAGCCACGCCACGCTCGCGTCTGAGACCTCGTACCAGCTCTCGTGAAAGTCCACGAGGTGCGTCGCGCAGTAGACCAGCACCAGCACACTTGTCCAGATCAGGTTGGACAGATCGTCCTTCGGGGTCGTCACGATGAGGAAGCGCTGGTAGGGCACGGATAAACATTTCGACAACGCCTTCGAAGGAGCCCAGCTCTGGTTGGACCGGAAGCTCCGGCATATCACGTCGACCGCTTTCTCGGGTGTAATTGGGCCGTAGTGGGGTTTCCCCGAGTCGTTAGGTTTCTTGGAGGCTGCTGCGCGCATGTTAGGTAGACTTCTTCTTGACAGTAAATGCCTGCAATGGTCAACGCCTCTGCGCGCGCATTTTTGGCATGGTTGGGGAGTTACGCTTGGCCAACAACAAACCGTGTCGGTTTACTGCTGGCCATGCAGTCTCCGACATCCAGCATGCACGCGCCAGGACCCGACCACCCGGTATTCACTCGGCTCACCCGGGCGCAACTGGTTGCTCGGCGGCGACACATCGGGCTTCAGACGCTCGTCTTCGATGTGTCTAGCGGCAGCGGGTCAAGCAAGTCACCAGCTGCACGAGCGAAACTGTGTTCGTACTGCAGGCGCATGTTCACCACAGTCTGGAAGCCGTACTTGTGCCACGTTTGCGGCCACTGGGTTTGCGAGCCGTGCTCGCGCGTGATGGAGCGCGAGCGACAGGAGCAGGTCATCCGCTACATTCGGTGCTGCGAGAGCTGCTTGCCACTCTTGAACAAGTGGACGCCCAACCTCGACGAAATCGTGGCGTTCACGTTCTGCCCGTGGGTGGTTCAGTCTAGCGTGAGTCCGCTGGGGGTGAATCTGGCCGACACACTCCGCTCGCAACCAGAGCGTCGCAAGGCGGCACTGGCGCTGCTCCGCCACTTGGGGAAGGAAGTTGACAGCGTCGCGGGGGTGCTGCTGGAAGACATCAGCGAGGACGAGTGGGCTGCCACGGTCTCGTCGTCCAACGCGCCGCCTGAGACCATCGCCGAGCAGCGCTCAAACTCGAGGCTGATCCGAGGCGCTCAGCACTTCGAACAGCAGTGTCTGGACGTGCGGATCCCGGAGATTCCCCTGGAGAAGTGTCTGCTGGCCGAAGAGGACGGTCGTCGCAGCTACCCGCTCACATACGAGTCGCCGACGCAGGTCCCGCTGGTGCCGAACCACCCGAGAGAAACGGAGCGCGCCGAGTGGATCAGACGCTACAACCTGCACGACCCGGACTTGACCGTGTCGGAAGAGGTGGCGTTGATCTGCGACCTCGTGGCCAAGGAGATGGAGGCGGACATCGGCGTGGCCACCGCGGTGCTGGGCGACCGGCAGTGGTTCACCCCGCCAGTGCGCCACGAGAGCGGCGTGCTGCTCATCAACGAGCGCAAGGAGTCGTTCTCGTCGCACTCGCTGCTGTCCGAGAAGAAGCCCTTCCTGGTGCACAACGCGCAGCTCGACGTGCGCTTCCGCAACTACAAGGTGGCCACGGCCAAGAACAGCCTTTCCTTCTTCTTCGGCGTGCCCGTACTGGCGGGCGACGGCGTCATCGTCGCCACGCTCTGCGCGCTCGACAGCAAGCCGCGACGCAGCATCACCACGATGCAGTACTCGGTCATGGTGGCGCTGGCCAAGGTGCTGGCCGCGGTCTGGAGGGAGGATCGCACAGCGACGGCATCCCGAGGGAGATGAAGGACGCGCCCTGGACGCTGCGCCTGCGGTCGCCGCGCGGCAGCACCGGCGACTGACAACCGCAACCTGGCCTGGCCTACAGACCAGCTCGGGTCAAGTCAACTTCGACGTCCTCCTCAGATCGAGTGTCCTCCTACGACGGACGACTGTGCGAGGCGAGTCGAAGCGGCGCGGACGCACGCCTCGCGCCAATGGGGCCGCTCCGGGCGCGTGCCCTGCGGCACATCCTGGTGGTCCGTCCGTCCGAGATTCCGAGGGTGCGTGCACGCCTGCATCCGACGCCTGCAGACGGATGCCGACCAAAACGAAGTGCTCATTGCCGCCGCTGCATTCATGGCTGGGCGACACGAGGAGATTCAAGGGAGATTCTGGTGGTTCAGGAGGCACAATGATGCAGCATCGGCCGACGGGAACACGTCACTCGAAATACGCAAACAGCTTTCACTTGAAGTTTGTATGGTGCGCGGCTATGTGCAGAGGATGTATGGTGTGCCGCACACAAAGACGACAGCACTGCCAGAACCGCAGCTCATTTCAGCTTCCTGCCTCCAGAGCACTCACTCACTCAGGGCCTCTCAGCCAGCATGGACGCTGCGGTAATGACCACCCCCGCGTCAGCCGCCGCCGGCGCCTCCAGGAACAAACTGCTGTTGGCCAGTCCCGAGGCGGCAGAGACGGCGCGCAGTGGCGGTAGCGCCTTCTGCGCAGCGGCCGACGCGGTGCTATTCCGAGCCGCGCCGGCCAAGCCGCAGCCGCAGGAGCCGCAGCTCTCGGCGCCTCACATGGGCGCGTGCTACCCCAAGTGCATGAACGCAGGCGAGGACCCGCAGCTGCTGCCCGGCGTGCAGGCCAAGCGGCCGATGGACGTGACGCCGGACGAGGCCGCGCTGGTGAGCGCCATGCAGACCTTCGACCTCGAGGAGCTCGGGCTGGCCGCGGCCCCTTCGCAGCCTCAGCAGCCGCCCAAGAGCATTGTCGTGGACTACGAGGACAGCGACGGCGAGCACCCGGAGCCGCGCGACCAGGCCGCCACCTGCGCCCCCAGCGCGTGCGGCCCGTTGACAGGCGGCGTGGCCGCCGTTGACTCAAGCTTCCCGCGTCGTCGGTCACGCGGCGCCAGCATCGACGGCAGCCTGCGTGGCAAGAGCGTCATCTTCGAGCAGGAGAGCAAGGCGACTGAGCCCGCGTCGCCCGCCACCTCCGACACTGACGCGGAGGAGGCGGAGGCGCGCTGCTCCAAGGTGCACAAGCTCTGCATGTGCGAGGTGAAGCTGCACCGCTCGCTTGAGTCCTGCTGGCTCGTGTCCAGCGGTCAGGTGTACGACGTGACGGGCCTCGTGACGGCACATCCCGGCGGCGTGCGCTCCATCCTGCGCAAGGCCGGCGGTCTGGACTGCGCCAGGGACATGAAGTTCCACACCAAGAACGCGCGCAAGATGATGGAGAAGTGCTTCATCGGCAAGCTCCAGCAGTGCGGCGACGACGTGGACTGCTCCGGTGATGCCAACTGCAGCATCATGTAGCTGGTACGTTCGGCGCGCTCTTCCCGGCACAAGACCCAAGTAGACCTAGATGTATGAGGAGGCAGGCGCGGCTTAGTGGAGACGCCGCGCCGCCTTCTGGCCTGTATAATTTTTATCAGCGGCGGTGAAGAGGGCAGAGCGCCGAGACATCGGCCACAGTTAGAAACGATGCGCTGCGGCAGTCGCGACTGGAAACCACACTTTTTTATTTACTCCTCGCGATGGCCCCTAAAAGAGAATCAATTCTTCCACTGACACCTTCCCTCCTTTTCCTTCTCCTCCTCATTTCGCCTCTGTAGCAGCCTTCCACGACGCAAAAGTGCTGCAGTCCAGGCGAATCATCTAGCGAGCAGCAGCAACTTCCTGTGCAGCGGGCGCGCTCAGGTGAACTGCTTCATGAACTCGGTGGCGACGATGCGGCCGCGTGCGTTGAGCGAGATCTTCATCTCGCTGATCTCCTTGTCGATGTCCTCCATGAAGGTGATGATGAAGTCGATGAGCTTGTGCTTGTACATGTTCTCGAGGTGCTGGTGCACCACGAGGAAGCTCATGTCGTAGCCCTCCACGGGCACCCGCCGCATGATGATGAACTGCTCGGCGCGCTGCATGAGGAAGCGGTTGAACTTGTGGCTCAGGATCGTCTCGATCTCGTCCGCCTTCTTGATGCAGATGCTCACGCGCGTCGAGTTGATGGACGGCTCGATCAGGCACTTCTCCTGCTCGTTGCGGCAGATCAGCACGGGGTTCAGCAGCAGCTCCTTGCTCAACCTGCGCGGCAATAAGGAGCAGTTAGCGGCCGATGTCTTCCTCATAGAATGTGAGGTGCGCGGCGAGGCGGCCAACGTACTGCAGCTCGACTTCCGGCTTGTTGTGGCGCTCCACGGTCTGCGACGGGAAGTTGCGCAGACACAGCGCCGAGTCCAGCGAGCTGCGGATGGCGCTGAGGTACGGGGCGAGCGTGTTGGCCTGCGTGCAGCAAGTGAGGGAGGTGAGAGGGGGGGGGCGCACAGCTGGGCAGTTAGGGCGGCAGCACGCACCATGGCAACGACGGATTCGTTGCTTCGTTCGTTCTCGGCTATTATCTGACTATGAGGGAGCAATTATCAATGATCGATTGTGACACAAGGGGGCGGTTCTTCGGACGCAGCCAGAGGTGGCGTAAGCTTTCAGTTCGATTAACTTGAAAAAAGTATAGTCAGAGTTGTGCGACAATTAGACAGCTTCAAGATGGACTGAGCTCCTCGAAGCTGCCAACGTCGCCACTCGACCGTGATATCCTACGCGGTAGGATTCCTACGCATTACCTAGCACACAAGGCGCATCGACTGCGTCCTGTTGTACCATTTGACTAGCAGCTCGCAGGGTGCATCGTCATCTACAGCTTAGTCGTCATCCACCTCGTATTATGCAGGTCGATGCAGGTCGAGCGAGCTTTTCGTTCATTCTGCAAAACTCCAGCCGCAGCTCAAGCATCCAAGGAAGGACGCATTCAATGAGCGCTCTCGTCCAGTCCAAGCCTCTGCCCCGCGGCCACGCCATCCCGAGCCTGGCACTGGGCGTGTTCCAGAGCACTGCTGGGCCAGAAACCTACGACGCCGTGCTGACGGCGCTCAAGCTCGGCTGCCGCCACATCGACACGGCCACGGGCTACGAGAGCGAAGGCGACGTGGGCAGAGCGATCCGAGACTCTGGCATCCCTCGCTAGGAGGTTTTCGTGGCCACCAAGTACTTCGAGGTCTCGTGGGTCCCGTGGTCGACCACGCCCAAGCAGCCGTGGAGCTACCAGGGAACCGTCGATGCGGTTCGTGAGAGCAACCGCAAGCTCGGTCTTGACTACATTGACCTCTACTTGCTGCACGCTCCGTGCGACAGCGCCACCCGGGCCGAGGCTTGGAGAGCTCTCGAGGACATGCAAGCCGAGGGGCTCTTCGCGACATTGGCGTCTCCAACTTTGACGAAGAGCAACTGCTCAAGCTGTCCAAGACCTGGCGCGTCAAGCCGGCAGTGAACCAGGTCAAGCTGCACCCGTGGCTGGCTCGCCCCGACACGGTCAAGTTTTGCGAGGAGCAGGGAATCCTCATGGAGGCGTACTCCCCTCTGGTGCGTGGCGAAAAGATGGAGGACCCTGTCGTTTGGGAGATAGCGAGCGGGCTGAACGCCTCTCCAGCGCAGGTGCTGCTCGCGTGGAGCCTGGCGAAGGGCTTTGTTGCGCCCAAGTCGGTCAAGGAGGCGCGTATTAAGGAAAACCTGGAATCCGCCAAGCTGAAGCTGTCAGCCGCCGAAATGACGAAACTGGGCAGCCTTGATGCCTACTACGTGACGGCCTGGGACCCGATCAAGGAGCACGGGGTCTAAAGTCGAGTGCTCTAGCCGGTCGAAGATGTTTTGTTTCAGTCAGAAGAGTAGTAGATGCATTTGTTTCTGACCAAACACTACTCTTTCTAACCAACGCATACACAAAATTATATCGGAATTGAGCAGCCATTCCGAGCGCCAGCATTTCAGGTTTAGTTGAGCTCACCCACACCGAAGTTGGTGGTCGATAACTCCAGCTGCTGAGCCTGCTTGGGGGAGAAACGAGCAACCGTGGGGTGGGGCTTCATCTCCGCGAGAGCCGTGGTGCCGTTGCGCGAGCCAAAGGCGCCGCTGTCTTCCAGCACGTTCTCTTCGCAGAGGCGACCCAAACTCGCAGTGCACTCGTCTTCCGAAGACTGCAGCGGCGCGTAGAGAGATCCGTCGACCATTCCAGGAATGTCCGGGTCGTCTCCGTCGTACAGCGGCTGGGTCGTGTTCACGAAGTAGTTTCCTTCGGCGAGCACGTAGCCGTTGGTGCCGATCTCCATCGAGTGGTACGAGTTGTCCTTGTAGTAGTTGTTCGCGATGTGGGTCACGACGCTGATGTCGGAGCTGCCGCCAACCTTCGGGAGTCGGCCGGACAGGTAGTGGATGTAGTTGTTGACCATCGTGATCCCCGTGGTCTTGCCGTCGAAGATGAAGCTCCAGTAGTGGTGGCCGTCGCACGTCTTGGAGAACTCAGTGTGGCCGTCAAAGTCCGAGTTGCTGATCGTCATGCTGGCGACGCCGGCCTTGGCGACCGCAATGAACTGGCGGCCGATGCGCGAGATCTTGATGTGGTCGAGCCAAATGTGCTCCAGGGGCACCGTGCCGTCGCTGAGGCCCTGCATGGTGATGGCGTCGCCACCCCACACGAGGTGCGGGTTGATCTCGGTGATGTGGACGTTCTGCACGATGATGTTGTGGCCGTTCAGGTTGAGCCCCTTGCCCATGATCACGCCGCTGTTGCCGACGCCACGGATGGTTTTGTTGCCCCGGACGTTGATGCGGTTGAGCGACGCGTTGTCGTACGTGACGTTGACGCTGGTGCCGTCGGTGCATCCGCCCGTGTTGTTCATACCGCCGTCCTGGAGAATCACGTCCTGGCCTTTGAAGCCGTTGTTGAGCGCGATGCACTTGCGCATGTAGTTCGGGCGGCAGCCCTCGGCAGTCGTGTTGCCCGCCAGCCCGCGGAAGTCGAAGGTCTTGGTCAAGACGACCACCTTCGGTGCCGGGTCTCGCAGGTAGGCCACCAACTCCTTGGTAGTATTCGGGTAAACCGGGGCAACGTCTCCGCCGCCAGTAGTCCCGGAGCCCATGCCAATGGGGGAGCCGATCGTGACGGCATGCGCGGAGGGGCCCACGAAGGCCAGCGCTGCGGCGACAAGGAGCTGAAGACGACCCATCTTGAGGGTGGAGAATTCGGGAATGAAAGCGACCTGGTTGGCGCGTAGGAACAGCGTAGAGCCATCCAGGATGATTTACGCGCTTACGCCAAAGCGTTATCGCCAGCTGCAAATAGGTAAGCAACCATGGGAGCTGTGGAGTCCAGACCCTCGCTGGGACCAACATGCCGCCTCAATGAACTCCCATCCGAAAGCGGCATCTTGCTTGAAGCTGCCCTCAAAGCATATGCGGGGTGTTACCATACTTGTCACTCCACTTCGCAGTGTTGTGGGGGAAGTTGCCGCAGCAGAGCACCACAAATGAGTGCGGCGGTCTCAAGTTTACCATGTTTCCATCACTGGAGCTTTGCCTCATTCTGGCTCTGAGGGCGTGCAATGAGTCAGAGGCTCCTTCGACACATCATTGCACCATGCGCAGCGGAGTAAATTGACGACGGCTTCAATGATTTTTCCGCTCTGTGCGCTCTCACGAGACGTCGACGTCGTTGGCAGGTCGGGCAGTGCCTCCTCTGCAGCAGTTTGGTCATGTAATGTGCCGTCTCGAACGTCTCTCGCGAGCACGACTCAAAATTACATGTAAGAGCTATAATAGTTCTGATTGTTATGTACAGTACAGTGTACCGGTAGTTATCTACGAAAGCTGCACGTACTGGCAGTCCGTAAAGCAACTTTGTTACGACAAAACGACACCGGCTACAGCACCCTTAAAGAGGCACCCCGCAACCTTAAAAACGGCTCGGCAACCTTAAAATTACAGGTTGCTTCAGCAACCGGTAATTTATCGAGAAAAATGACAGTAGTAATCGAATATTTCGAGGACAAATTTTGTTGTACCACTCACTATCTAGGCGTTGGAGTCCAACTTGGTACCTCGGAGCCAAGAGATCTGCATCCGACGAAGCTGCGTCGGCAGGAGGGCATACCAGAGCACTCTGCGGCGTCCACTGCGTTACCCTGCGCTGCGCTGCAGAACGATCGTGGACAAACTCGAGGGGAAATCCTGTTCGAGGCGGCGGCAAGTAGATGAAGCTCACATCCAAGTGCTGGGCGGGAAGGTGACTTAAGAGCAGAGTAATGCAGTCAATCGAGCAAGGAGCAGCGTTCCGACACGTGGGCGTCACGATGCAGGTGCACAAGGACTACGTGGGCATGTGTTTCCTGGGCTTTGTTTCAAGGAGCAAGGCTAGCAAATTGGCTTCAGCGTTCTCACCGACCCCGAGAGCCGACAAGTTCAGCGCCACCAGCATGTCGGTGCGTTTCCTGGGGTCCACCAGCACTGGAGGCTGTGGTGTGTTACGGACGTGACTTGTTCGGCTTCAAAAGAGGCAGAGGCGAGCTGGTGTGACACCTGCTTTGGAAGTCGGCACGGGTCTGTATCGGCACCTGTAGCCGCAGTGGGAGCAGTTCCGACACGAGGACACAAGCGCAACGACGGAAAAAGATAAGCGACAGCCAAGGTATGAAGCCACTGCGCTGCATGTTAGGTGTTAAGGTTACTCGGCGCGGGCAGAACAACACCTGCAGTGTACGGCCAAATCTCCGCTGCATGTTGATGCATTGTGTACCAATTCAACTGAGGTCCATCAAATATGGCTGCTGGATCTGAAAAAAAAGAGGTTCGTGGTGCAGGCGCGCAAAAGGTGTCGGTGGTTCGGTGGCTCTTGAGCTAAGTGGTCAAAGACGATAGGCTGAAGGTGCTGCTGGATTACCCAGCAGATCGAGTGATGGAAGTGCCCGTTCATTTCCAGCCACTTAGGCTTTCGTCAACACCAGAGGTCGCAAACAGTATGCACCGGCTTACCCGGACCGCTCGGCAGATGGCACCGGGTACCCGAATCCGCCCATGTGGGCCTTGTCTGAAGTTCGGGTACCCGGACCCGTCCGTAGATCCGAATCCGTTCGGATACCCGAAATATCGGTCCGTCCGAAGTTGCGGGTGGGCATGTCCATCAAGGATATGATGCGAAATGCCATTTTGCAGTATAATACGTTCACGTTAAGCTTCTAAGCTAAGATCTACCTTGATCTAGCCTTCCTCCTTTAGGTGACCGCTCAATTATGGATGATCTAACGGTACGGTCATATGTCGAACAGTACGGCACTGCGTGCATGTATGAAAACAGCCCAACATCACAGGTAATAGTGGCCAGAGCGCTGTTCAGTAGACTACAAAGGTAAGTTAGCTATAAGCTTGCGATTGTGTTCACTTCGATCTGCACGTGCTTCGCTCTTTGGCTCTGGTCAATACCTGAATAATCTAGATGGGAATTATTGCATGGTTCGGCCCGAACTTCGGATACCCGAACCGATCCGAGGCTGCTTCAAAACTAAATCGGGTACCCGTACCCGTCGAAACTCAAACGGACGGGTATGGACGGACGGGTACCCGGTTTTCGGGTACCCGTTGCGAGCTCTGGTCAACACCACAGCGATGGGCAAGGATAGCGTCAACACCTTGTCGGCCCCTGTAGGTAAACCAACCCTGAACATGCTGCGTGACGTGCCGAGCTTTTACCTGTCGAAAGACTACCACGACACGACCACGAATTTTGAAACTGGTTGCTGCACGATGGGCTTGATTAACTGCGTGGAAGCGTCCGACGCGAGCAACCAGGATGAGCGAGTTCAACAGTATAGTACTTTTAGACTTTAACGAGAAGATTGTACATGTCATTTGGCTCATGCAAACTTTGTTCCCTTTTGCAAAATATTCTAGGATAATGCGCACATGCAGCAACATGCTGTAATCGATGATGCACGGGGTAAATGAGCACTGCAGAGTTCTCCGTCAATCAACCCGCGTCGTGTTTGCCTAACATTATGTTGCGTTGCTGAGTAGGAGACTTAGTGCAATGTAAATCGCAGTATGTCGTCGTTCAACATGCGATTACCCGCCACAAAACCAACAATTTGATCGAAACGAATTGAGTCTTGGCCGGACGGGAGACGTAAATCCGAGCTCAATGCCGTTGAGTTGTACTTCTCGATAACAGCCTTCGCCAGGGTTTGATGAAGAAGTTGAACCGTTGAGATTTCGCCACCACCGTCAAGTGTTGCAGGTTCCAGGACAATATGCATACACAAGGCGGCCAAGCTTGTCCGTAATCGCTACGAGCACATGACATCAAGGACTTCGTGATGGAGAAGCCCAAAAGTTGGCATGACACTGTGCCCCGGTTTTCAGGCGACATGTTTTGTTGGTCGTGAAGCGTCGAGCGTTGACCGCTTCATCAAAGGGTGATCGAGGTCTGAGATTCCTTGAGCCCGTAAACGCTATCGGCCGCAGCGATGTTGCATGGTTTGTTTCCGACTATGAAAAGAAAAACTCAATGTTGTTGGGGGCGATTTTTATGCTCGTACAACTGAGTAGTCTGCCTTCACAGCGGATGGCTGTTGCAGGCGCACAACCCCAGCACACTGTCAAGTGGCAGTACAGTACTCACGAGTCAGTAGTCAGTACTCAGTCCCAAAGCAAATGTAGCCATGATGGAAGAGCTCAAAGCTCACATTTCGTTGATCCCGTCATTAGCCAATCACAATGGCGGAAGCATCACAGTACAGTACTGTCTGTGCTGTAGCTGGGTCTCCATTCCCCGATCCAACCCGCCAACCCCCAGCATGAGCGACGACGAGTCCAAGCACAAGCGCTGGTTCCCGCTCGAGTCCAACCCGGACGTCATGAACGCGTACGTGGAGAAGATGGGCTTCCCCACGGGCCACTTCAGCTTCTGCGACGTGCTGAGCACGGAGGAGTGGGCGCTGGGCATGGTGCCGTCCCCCGTCGTGGCTGTCATCATGCTCTTCCCCATCAAGCCGCACGTGAGTTTAAACAAAATTACAGTAGGATAAATCCTGTTTAAACTCTTGGTGTGAAAATGCTGAAATGGATGATATCGATGTTTTTTTACTGCAGACGGAGGAGGCGGACAAGCAGGAGGCGGCGCGGATCGAGAAGGACGGGCAGACGGTGTCCCCCAACGTCTACTACATGCGCCAGACTGTCGGTGCGGAGATTTTACTGCTGATTTTACGTTTCAGCACCGAAATTTTTGTTTCGTATTGTTAATATTTCTGTGCTTTTATTTCTATCAGGAAATGCGTGCGGTACCGTGGGCATCCTGCACGCTATCGGAAACATGCGCCACCATGTGCAGCTGAGTGCGTTGCGGTTTTTGTGTTTTGTTTTGTTTTCCTCCGATAAACTTATCAGTGTCTGTATGCTGGGTTTTGTGCTGGCAGCTCCGGGGAGCTACTTGGACAAGTTCTTCAACAAGACCAAGACCAAGACGCCGGAGGAGATTGCGCAGTACCTTGAGGAGGACGACGAGGTGATTTGCCTTGATCAAGTTGGGGTCGTGCGGTCTCGTACTGGTTTCTCATGTGTTATTGCGGATGAATAATTCTAGCTGGAAGAAACGCACAGCAGCGCTGCGGAGGCTGGCCAGTCAGAGGTGCGAAGAGGTTGCAGCAGTTCATCGGGTCTGGGTACTAACATTGTTTCTGGCTGCGCAGCAACTGGAGAGCGTTGACGACCCGATCAACACGCACTTTGTGTGCTTCAGGTATGGGTCGTACCGAGCTGTAAAGCATCTTGTGTGCGTAGTCTAATTTGCTTCTATGCAGCTGTGTGGATGGCAACCTGTATGAGCTCGATGGCCGGAAGAAGCGTCCCATCAACCACGGACCCTCCAGCCCAGACACCGTTCTGCAGGTAGGTAATGCATTGCATCAGCTTTGCCCTCGAGGGGCATAACATTTTTCATTCATTTATTTTTATTATTCGCCAGGACGCGTGCCAGGTCATTAAGAAGTTTATGGCTCGCGACGAAGGCGAGATGCGCTTTACCATCCTAGCGCTGGCGAAGACGGCGTCCGACTAACTGGCATCTGGTCACCGAGACCAAGTGTAAAAAGCTGTCATGGTCTTAACAGGTCAAAACGAATGAAAATCTACCGCTACTTGTAGCAATCCAAAAATCGCCTCGATATCTTTGCCAAGATTGCCAAACTGACGACTCTTCGTGTGGGTGCTGATGCTAGGCAGCAGCAGGGGGAATGGGTGCTGCTGGCAGAACCTTCCTGCTAGATCACGTCGATGGTGCATGATCTCCTTGCTGCTGCTTAGCTATCTGGTCAGTGTGGTGTCTGCTGCGGCCTCCATCGATTTTTACGTGTCTCCAACAGGTAGCGACATCGGTAGCGCCGATGGAAGCTTCTCCAAGCCTTTCAAGACGCTTGCACGAGCTCAACAAGAAGTCCGAGTCAAGAACAAACTGTCTGCGAACAGCAACACTCCCATCAACGTTTACGTTCGTGCCGGCCGGTACGAGTTGTCCAAGACATTCGACTTCACCAGTGATGACTCGGGTGCTTCCAGCAACGCCACCGTCACGTATCAAGCGTACTGCGACGCCGACGTGGAGAAGGCCGCAATTTCAGTCCGAACATTTCCGTATCACTCTGGATTGGGAGTTCCTCCACGTCTCCATTGGAATGGAGTTGGCGATATCGACGCATGGGAAGGCCCAGTAGATCCATTCGCGCAGATGGGGGTCAACCGCTCGAATAACTCGTTGTTGGTGATACCAGCGCCGGCTCAAGATGTTGGCACCGATATCGGCACTGTGTGTGTTGACAAGAACTACGGCGTTGGGCACACTTGCTACGCTGAAGGAAGCCCAATGGCGACGTGTGTTTCAGGGTGTATGGTTGCCTGCCAAAGCCACATTGCCAGAAAACGCTACAGCGAACCTTTCTACGATAAGTTTACGCATTTATTCGGCAAGGACCTGCGCAAGGAGGAGGACTGCGTTGAGATTTGTTCACTGTCGTGTCGTGGCTGTGAGAAGGTGGTCATTTCTGGGTCGAAGCTGATACAAGCTGGAACCCTCACGTGGACTTTGGACCGATCTGTCACAGTCACTACGGCTAGCGGAGGCTCGCAGTCTCTAAAAATCTTCCGGACGGATTTGTCGTCGGTTCTACCGGGTCTTGCCGCTGGCGTCGTACCAGCCAAGCCCGAAGACTTCCCCACCTTTACTACTCTGTACGTTGACAATGTCCAGTTGCCTCGTGCTGGGTTCCCCAATTGTTTGGTCGACTCATCATTGCCTGCGCAGACCTTTGCCTGCTTGTATGAACCAGTTGATGTCGCCGACTCGCAAGTTCTCTACAACGCGACCACTTTCTCGAGTCGGATTTCAACGTGGACAAATGTGAAAGACGCCATGGTTGATCTCCGACCCCAGAGTACACAGCCGACCAGTCTGCGCTACTCGTTAGCTTCTGTGAACACTGTGGCTCGTACCATGCAACTAGGTGCAGGAGGATCGGAGCTTTCCTACGACCTCTTCACGGACGGCCCTGGTGCTGCTTCGTCGACCAGTCTTGATCCTGCCATCCGACTGGAAAATGTACTGCAAGAGCTGGACTCTCCGGGCGAGTGGTTCTTCGACGTCTCCACGCGGTTCCTGTATTTAATCCCGTTGAAGTCGACAGCCACCGCAGCATCTCTGGCTAGCAGCGTCCTAGAGATCCCGATACTTCACCAACTGCTGCGGGTGAGTGGCTCCCGCGAGAATCAATACGTCACCCCCACACACGCCCACACGACGCTCAAAGAAACCACCTCACTGACCAAAGCATCCAACCTACGCTTTCGGTATTTGACGCTGTCCGGAACGCAGTTTCACCACCTCAACATCTGTGAGTTACATGGTCTTGTGCACTGCGTAATCCCTGGGGTGTCGACTAACTTTGCTGAGAACGTCTTGTGTCATTAGATGAGCGTGTTCCTGGATCTGGGTGGCCCGTGACGCGAGTTGCAGCAGTCTACTTGGAGTCGGTCACGAACACGACGATCGCGTACTGCAGCTTCGAAAAAATCGGAGGCAACGCGATCATGGTGTCGGGCGAGAACAGCAACATCCAGCTCGTGAACAACAACGTCTCGTTTGTGGGCAGCAACGGAATCTCCGTGCTAGCACGACGCGGCTATCAACTCAACTCGTTTCGAGAAGCTGTGCTTGCCCACCTGTTGGTTCCCCGCTCTGTGAACATTTCCTTCAACCAGGTGCACCACTTCGGACAGCAAGTTGCTCACTCGGCGGCGATCATGGTGGTGGGAGCCAAGCAAACTACCATTCACGGGAATCTGGTCTTCGGCACCCCGAACAGTACCAGCATCGGCGCCAACAACACTGCAGCTGCACTGTTCTCGGCAGCGCCGTACCATGTGATCAACGCCAATGGGGCAAACTTGGAGGACGGACTTCCGTTGATCCGCCCCATCACCAATCTCGGAGACAACGCGATGCCCGTGACGCCTGCCCCGCTGTTATCTTCGCAGTACCAAGTCACCGTCCCGCTGCTCGGGTTTGACGTGAACACCGTGGCGAAGCTTGTCGGCGCGCCCGAGTGCTTCTCCGGCAGCGGTCGAGTCGGGTCCCTGTATGGTGAGCTCGCACCGTTCACGTACACCAGTTGCTCCGGATGCTGTTCAGTGCACAACAACTACGCGCGTCTTCGAGTGTCCGGGTCGGGTGTCGCTTGGAGTGCCGCCATCTCTAGAGAAGTCGTTGTGCGTCCCGGTCAGTCGATCGATCTCACTGCCACTTCCTCGGCGTACTTCAACTCCATCATCGACGTCTACGTTGGTTTCCACGTGGTGACTCCGAACCAGATCCTCGACCTGCCGACACAAGCAAAGTGGCAAATCCTCACAAGAAGCTGCCAGTATGCAGAGCAAACGTACCAGGAGACTTGCGGCGGGCCCTGTCAGCAAGATGACGGATGCGGCAGCTCGAACGCTGCGCTGCTACAAGCGCTTGGCACTTCCCTCGCTTGTGCTAGTGGGTACGAGTCCGACCCACCGTCGCTGGTGTGCACAGGGCCGTTTGAAGGGCAACGGGACTGCGACGGCTCTGGGGTGATCAAGGCACATTTGTACTACAACTGCTCCATTGACTGCTTCGCAACGACGTGCGCCTAGCACTAGCAACACACACGTCCGACACAGACCAAGCCCGCACGTAACTCCAATTTTCAACATGTTCACTTGTTTCCCTGTACGCTAGTGCCCCGAGGCACAAGACATACTCGCGCCTTGCTTATTTCGGTCTTGCGCTCGGCCCGCGTTCTAAAAGACCGTCGCGGCTCCCTCGACCCATTATCTCATCTTTCCTTTTGTTTTGTTTCTCTTTGCTGTCACCACCCGCGCGAGCTCCTCCCGCGATTCTTGATTGGTTCCTATCCCTCTTCGGCGCGCCCCAGGGGGTCAGCAAGCGTATCCTGTCTCACAGGTATGTCTTATCACACATTCGATAGCGACGAAGGCCGCCCCACGAAGCTGAACCCGTCGAAGTCGTTCGGGCGGTCTGTCTTCGCCATCATCACACTCGGCTCGCGATCGCGGGCCGTAATTTCATTCATGTTGCGAGGAACGTAGTGCGTGTCCATCTTGCCAACACCCGGGTTAAACGGAGGCTGCATCTTGCGCTCGAGCAGCTCCGGCCAGTCAATGCTGTCGAAGAACGGGTGTGTCAGCACCTCGTCCGCGCCCCGCGGGCCGCTGCCAAGACGCATCATCGGGTCACGCGTGAGCAACTGCATTAAAACAAACAGAATAGCCCGTTAGTCATTCGTCACACACTGGAAAGATCACAACGCGCTTGAGCACTTACCCCATTGATGAGCGAAATCGCAGCGTCGGAGAAGCTGGGCGAGAAAGTGACCCAGTCCTGCTTCAGAATAGTTTGGAACATAATGTCCCGGTTGCGGTGGTAGTAAGGCGGCTTTCCGCCGATCATCTCGTACAGCAGAATACCGAACGACCACCAATCAGCAGCCTTGCCGTAAGCCTTGCCCTTCAGGAGCTCGGGTGCGATGTATGCAGCAGTGCCACAGAAAGTCGTAGCGCCCTTCAGACCAGATACGCCGACCTTCGACAGACCGAAATCAGTAATCCGCACGTGACCGTCGTGGTCCATCAACACGTTTTCAAGCTTAGCATCACGGTAAATGATGTTGGCGCTGTGAAGGTGCGCGATGGCCGCAGCGACTTCGGCAGCGTAGAAGCGAGCCCACTCCTCCGGGAATTTACGACGGCGGCGTAGGTGCGTAGCCAGCGATCCACCGCTGAGGTAATCCATCACGAGGTACAGCTTCGACTCACTCTGGAAAGCGTAGTGCAGCTTGACCACGAACGGATGCGAGATCTCCGTCAGAATTTTACGCTCCGCCATCGTCGTGTTAACGAGGCCCGACGAAACAACCTGCTGCTTCTTCAGCACCTTCATGGCGTAACACTCACCCTGGTGCGGCGGGGTGACCTTCCGACACAAGAACACCTTACCAAAACCACCCTGACCAACGACCTTCATCAGCTCGAAGTCCTTGTCCGAGATCAAACGCTGCTTGTCACTATTCGAGCCACTGCTAGAACCAGAGTTGCGCTTGGGCTTCGCCACTGGCTTGGGCAAATAGTACGTCGCCTTGATTTTGCCGTCTTCATCAGATCCATTGTTTTTGTTTCCGTTCTTGCCCTCGTCGGCGCCACCGGACATATCGCTGGACTCATCGCCATCAGTTTCACCAATCACAATTATGTTAGACTGTCGCCGCGGGCGACCGATAGGCTTCGTAGCCGTCTTTCGCTTTCTCAGTTCGGCACGAACGTGCTTTACAACAGCGGTCATGCCTGGTTGGTTCGGGTTGGCGCCGATAAATGCGAATGCAGGGTCTTCGGCCTTTTCCAGGGTCTTCGGTGTGTTGTCGGCCTCCTGGGACGGCATGAAGCCCAATGACAGACACACACAGTTCACGCGCGCCTGCGAGTCCACGATCTGGGCGCCAAGCGGCTCGTACGACGCTTCCCAGTTAATCGATCGGCGACCGAGAAGCTCAAGAATACCAGGAGACTCGTTGTGATCGATTTCGTGCTTGGACTCGATCAGCGCAATGCGATGAATCTTTTCTCGAGCGCTCAGCTCGTACGTCTCCAAAATGGACTTCACAAGGGCACCACCACGCGCGTACGCGATGATAGACACCTGGCCCTTGCACTTCGTGATGAACTGATCCCACACGAAAAGGACGTGCTCCGTGGGCGTAGTAGAGTTGGGAATGGGGACTTCACGCTCGAATCCTCCAGCCTCGTAAACGACGGCCGAGTTGGAGAACGGGTTGCAAACCACGATTCCGTAACCCTCTTCTTGCGCACGACTGAAGTAGGGTGTCATCGACCACTTGTGGTCAATTGTAAGCTTTTTGTTCTCCGGGTCCTGCTTCCAGAGACCAAGAGGGCCAGAGTCAGCCAGGAACAGGATAACCTTCTTTGCTGATGTGTAGGCCATCGAGCTGTAGAAACGGCAGCGAACTGGCGAGTCAGCTGATGGTACAAACTGAGGCGTGAAGTCCAACTCCCTCTCCATAAAGTTGTAGATGTCCTTCTTGTCCGTGCGTTCGCTCATACGAATAGACGGGTTCGCGGGGTGCTTCAGCTTTGGCAGCTCGACTGGCTCCTCAAAGGCAGAAATTCCACGAGTGTCCAGCTCCAACGAGTCAGCAGAGCTCTTACGTTCACGATCTTCAGCCTCATCTCCAGTGGGCTTGCCCTCTTCTTCCTCGTCATCATCCGAACCCCTTGGCTTCTCGTCGCCCTTCTTGTACGCATCCGAAGCCGGTTTCGTCGGCAGTTCGGTGTCGTCCCCGCTTTCTTCATCACTACTCGACTCCATCGCCAGCATTGCAGTTGTTTTGCGACGTCCCATGCCAGCCATGAGCAACCCTGCCGATGACCGAGATGAAGTTCGTACCGGCACAGGAGCAGGCTTCGGCTCCGCCTTCGACTCTTCTTCAGAGTCGCTAAAGGAGGTAAAACTGTGTTTTTTAGGCTCAGGCTCCACGATACCGAAGTTAGGTGTCAGTGTAGTCTTCTTGGACTTCGGCGGCGTCGGAGGAGCCGCCACGGGAGATGGGATTTGTCGAGGTGGCGGGGACGACGCCGGAGAATCCGCGTCACTGCTGGAATCCTCGCTTGGTCTTCGCACCGGAGAACGAGGGGCCGGCTTCGCATCGTACGAAGTTGCCTTAGCGTCTTCCTCATCCAAGTCGGAATACTTAGCCGGAGTAGGCTTCTCGTCAGCTTCCACTTCATTGAGAGCCTCGGCAATGTCCTGGTCAAACCTAGCTGAGGTGTTGTCGCGGTCAGGCTGCTCCATACGCTGCTGTGACGACCCTCTTGTCAGTCGGTTAGGATACGTACCCTCCTTATCGCCAACATCAACGCCGTCTGGCGTTTGCATCACAGCAAGCAGAAGTGTCCTAGCGCCCTCGGAGAGAGCCTCCAGTTCATCAAACGGCGTCGTTTCGTCGTCGAGGTCATCGCGTCCATCAATGTCCTCATCTCCGTCGTCATTGGCAGTCTGCGCACGCGACGAACGGTCGCCAACAGTGGTGCCACGCAGGTTGAAACCACAAGCTCCGCAGAAGCGGGATCCCGTCAGCACTGCGTTACAGTTCGGGCAGCGCTTCTTCTCCACTTCCGGCTCCTCCACCACCGCGTTCAGCTTGTTCAACGCGTTCATCCACTTGTTGCGCTCCCGATCGTTATCTGCGTAGACATAGTACGGCACCTGCTCGGTGGTCATGAACATGAATCCGAAGGGCTCGCCATCCCACTTCTGCACGTCCTCAACCAGCACTTCGGCAAGAGGTTTTCCCTTGGAATTGTTCGCCATGTCATAGTCCGAGTAGTACGAAATGGCGTTCCCACGCAGAATGAAGTAGCGCTTCTTCCAGCTCTTGCGCTTGTGACCCTGCTTCGTCAGATACCCTGCGCACGACACCGGTTCCGGCACGCTGGCCGTCGATTTCTTGACCGTTGCCAGCCACTTCTGCTGCTCACCGGCAGTATCGGCAATCACATAAAACACGTTCCCTGTGACCGTCATGAACATCAAACCATTCGCCTCGCCGTCCCAAGCCGCGACGGATCGTATTTCGACTTCCGCCATCGCTAACTGATTGTCGCGGTACGCCTGCTGATCCGCGTAGTGGCGCAGCGACGTTCCGTTCAACACGTAGTACGCCATGCGCTGGCTCGGGACCAGGTGGCCGCGCTTCGTGAGATATCCTTCGCAACTCACCTCTTCGGTTTCCACCATGTACTCCTTAAGCACGCGCAGCCATCTCGACCGCTCCGACTCCGACGACGCGTAGACGTAGTACGGGATCTGCTTGGTGGTGTAGAACATGAATCCGTGCGCCTCGCCCGACCACGTGGCCACCTTCTCGACCGTCACGGCGCCGTACTTCTTGCTCTTCTCCTCGCTCGAGTAGTACTCGAGCACGTTGCCTCGCAGCGTGAAGTAGCGCGTCTTCCAGTTGGTGAACAGGTGGCCTCGCTTGGTCAGGTAGCCTTCGCAGCGGATCTCCGTGGGGGTTCCCTCGGGCACCGTCATGCGCGACTCCTTCTCGCCGCGCGTGAGCATGAACGTCTCGCGACTGAAGAGGCTGCGTCTCGACACGGAGCGGCGGTTGCCGGCGTTGTTCACGGGCGCCGTCTGGCTGAAGTCGGTGCCTCCGAAGCCCGTCGTGGTGGCGGCAGGATTGAAGCTGCTGCCTCCGTAGGCGGGTGAGGCCGTGTTGGCGAACTGCTGCTGCTGCTGGTACTGCTGGTTGCCGTAGGGCGTCGAGTTGGGGCCGAGCGAGTGGCCCAAGTGGCCGCTGCCCTCGATGCTCTGCTCGGTCATGGCGTCGAGGTTCGGGTTGGACACGGGGCGCGGCATGCCGCCGTACGCGCTGCCGCCGCTGTGGGGCGCCGCCGGGATCTGCGGCGGGTAGTGCGGGGGCGGCGGCGGCGGTGCGCGGTTGAACATGCTGCCACGCGACGAGGAGCGCGGCATGCGACCGTGTTCGGCGCTCGTCGTGGTGCGCAGCGGCGGCGGGTTCATGTCCGCCGAGGCCGAGGACGACGAGCGGCGGATGGACTCGCGCAGCGCGTACGACGTGGGCGACGTCACCAGGATGTCCTCGTCCTGCTGCTGCTGGTAGTTGTGCGAAGACTGGTCGGCGCTCATTGCGGCATCGACCTGCGGGTGGCGCGAAGGGGACGAGGGAGGCTCCTGCAGAGGCACATACAAACACCAAGTGAGACGGGTTAGTGCCGAGTGCCGAATCAGGAGTGATGGTCGCTTCCTCCGCTTCAAGCCACAATTCACTTTTGCTTTCGCCCTCTCGCTACCGACGCGGGAGACCGCAACCGCCGAGAGAGGGGGAGGGGGAGGAGAGGAGGAGAAGGAGAGAGGAGACCCGCACACACTCAGGTGCGGCGCGCGATCTTCCTTCCCGCTGGTGTTAAACCCTCCGGCGAGCGGTCGTCTGCGGCGAGAGGACGGCAACGGGGCGAGGAGGAGGCGGAGGAGGAAGCGGCCGTCGCCACTGTAAAGCGAGTGCGCTACCTGTTGCTGCTGCTGCCTGTGGGGGGTCGGTCGTAGCCTGCCGCGAGCCTGCGTCGAGCCGCGTGTATCCGCCTGCGAGAAGAAGTTAGAGTCTCCTTTCTCTGGGCTTGCGTGGCCTCAGTCGGCGTCTCGTTGTGAAAAATCCCCCCTCGCCGGTTGGTCGAGTTAGTGACTACCCGGTAGACTGTGTGGTGAACTACCGAATACAAGCCCTTCACAAAATAGTAGCCCCGTCACATTTATTAGACGACAAGTTATGGATGCCATGAGCTCGTGAGGTAGTGGTCACAGATCCATACAGATCCTTATACCCCACTACTTTGAGCGAATCGAGTGCTTCAAGTACTGAGCGACGAGTGAGTAACTCTATTCAACTGTAGAACACGTGGGGCCGATTCCATTCAGCTTTGTGATCAGATGCACTGCATAACTTTCAAATAGCCCTATGTAATTGAAGAATCAAATGCAGTCCAATTTGAGTTTCGACTGTAGCTATTTTCTATTTACCCACGTGTGTTCACGCAGAGCCGCAAACAACAACAACAACACCAACAGCATACTAGTGTTTTAGGGAGAATGGGGTCTACTTGGTTCGGTCCGTCGGTACGTCCTCGGTGAGATGATCTATTCAGTCAAAGCTATATGAGCTGGCTTGTCATCTGTTGCTTATCCTTGTCGGTTATGCAGTGTTACCGAGCCTTACGCCGGACTGGGGAAATTGGGAGGGAGGGTAGGTACACTTCATACTTTTACCGTTACAATCCGCAGCTACCTGAACGTTGTTAAGATTGAGAACACGCTTTTCTAAAATGTACGATCTTGATATTCACCCTAAACAATACAAAGTGAATATCAACTTCCTCATAAAAGGCTTCGTTTGTGCCCTCGAGTTTCTCTGCTAACTTTAAAAAAACAAAGGCTCATTTGTAGATCAGACAGATTTATCCAGCCAAATATTAGATCTACCGGGTAGCCATTACTCCCATCAGTAGTTGTCCACACGTGACTTCGACGCTTCAACCTGGATCGCGCCTCGCTCGGATCGCGGTCGACATACTAGCGAGCTACGACGGACGCTGACGGGCTGCTGCGTTCGGCTGATGGTGAAGCATGCTGCTGCTCTCTTGAAGCGTGGAGGGAGAAATTGCAGAAGATCAACGGGTACATGGACCGAGAGTGCGGGAATGAGTCATAATAGCTGGAGACCACCGCCCACGGCTGTTGCCACACCAAACTTCAGACCGATCACTACTCATGTATCGCGCGGCCATGCGTGACGCCGACCGTGTCGATACGCCGAGCGGGTGGACCATTCGAAGACGCTCTCACTCGCTCGCTCGTCTGGCTGGAAGACACTCTCTGGAGCAGATGCAGTTGTCAAAAAAGGCTAGAGCTCCGGCGGCCTCGCGACTAAGGTGGCCAGGACGGCGCAGTGGACTCGACGTTGCTAACTGCGATGGAGCACAGATAAGACTTGTGCAGGCTGCAAGTCTTGCTGAAGTGTGCCGGGCCTTGGGCCAGAGCGAGGTTCGGACGTCTGGCCATCTGGGCTCTGGAGGGGAAGGAAGCGTGGAACCCCGCGCTGCGTCTTGCCCGGCCGATACGATGTCGCATCGGTCAGTAAGGTGCTGCGATGCCTGCTTGTATGGGCTAATACGGCTGGAGCTTCGTCCGTACTAAGAAATACGTATCCCGAAGCACGGCGTCAACGTTTCGATTGACACGAGCGCAGGACGCGAGACGGCTGCTTTTTGCATGCAATGGGACGACGTGTGCGATGCAGTGGTTGGGCTCAGTTCGGGCGGGTCAAACGTAACTGCGGAGCAAGGCAAAGCCAGAGCATGTATTTGTGTGCACACGGGGAACCAATGTTTTGGTTAAATAACAGCGATAGCGTGAGGTGGTGCGCGGTTCGGGAGGATGGAGAGAGGGGTATGGTACACTTTGTCCCTTGAGCAACGAGGGAGCTTCGTCTACTGAGTAGCTAGAAGGCGACGATACCGAGCTTGTGGCGAGGCAGCGTCGAGCGTGGAAGGTCTGCAGAGCAGCAGCGAGCAACGTGCCAAATCAAAATATCGCTCCAAGCTCATGCCGTCTTGCCCGCGTTGAGACTATCGGTGATGAAGCTGCTGGGGGGCAAGTTGGGCACTGCGGAGCTGGCGCGGTACCCGTCCAGCTTGCCGGGCATGAGAAAGCTAATGGGCGGCAAGCGCGGTGTTCCTGCCGATGCTGGCGGCGCTATTCCAGCCAGGCCGTTGGGTTGCACGCCTGAAGTAGCAGCACCGCCAGAAGCATATTGCGAGTTCCTGAACGCGTCCGAGGTGTTCTGGTCGTAGGCGAACCGGCTGAGCGGCGAGACGGAGGATCCGCTCGGGAACGCGGCCTCGAGCGACGTGATGGAGTGCAGGCTATGCCGGCGAGCGCTGTCGCCGCCGACGCCGATGCTGCCGAGCTTGGCGCGCCGCGCGACGCTGACCATGCGGTGCTTGCGGTCGCTCTTGCGCTGGTGCTCGTTCTGGCGGTCGCGGTGGAAATGGCATAGGGTATGGAGCTGGCCGTTTCGCTTGGTGGCGCGCGGGTTGGAGCACTTGCCGGACTTGTACTTGCACAGGAGCTGCTGCTGCTCGCCGGCGCGCGGCGAGCTCAGGGCCGCGAAGCCGTCGTCCTGGCTGTCCATGAGGTGGTGACTGCGCTTCAGGCGGCGCTGGCGGTAGAGCTCGCTGCCTCGGTCGGCGCTGTCTGGCTGCAGTCCCGTGTCGAGTTGCTCGCGGTCCGAGTTGTGCATGCACGTGCTGCTGCGAGCGTGTATGCTGCTGTGCTGTGGAGAAGCTGCTGTGGGAGGGTTATGGCGTGAGCTGAGTAGCGGCGGCTGCTGCTGCTGCTGCTACGGCTGCTAAACGGAAATGGGCGGGCGCTGCTTGCTGGCGACGGGCGAGAAAGCAAAGTGAGCGTCGGTGCGTGCGCGCCGGATGCGACGGCGCGCGGAGTCAAGTGCGTTGTGCTGTAGCAAGTGGCAAAAGGCATGCTCCTCAGCGTCTTTGCACGTTTTGCGTTCAGCAGCCGCTGGAGCCCCAGCAACCAGAACCCGCGCCCAGCCAGAAAACTCAAAACCGTCCGTGTATTAAGTCGGCGGCGGAGCGCATTGTGGTGAGTACAATGTAAGCTCGTGCCTCTCTATACCGAGGAGCTTCGCGCCGCCTGCGCGAAGCTTCCGCGAGCGTCTCGGAGAAAAAAGTGTGGAGCTTGGCGGCGCCTCGCTCGGGAGCATCTCTGCCAGTGCCAGCACCTTTCACCAAAGCTGAATCGAGTCCTGAGTCCTGGGTGGCGCAGCGAGTATGATTGCCGAAAAGTCCTGCTGCGAGGCGAGCTCTGGGGCGGACGCTGAACCCGCCACTGATTTCTTCCGTTTTCCTTTGGCTCGGCGCCGCGGAGCTCGGGGGCGCTCGGAAGTACTGTAGCACACTGGTCTCAGGACCACCGAGCACGGCTACATATTGCCGTCAAGTGCATTGCAAGTTCAACAGCAGTGCCCCTTCGAGCTCGCTTGATGCAGCAGGCCACCGGCGGACCGGTACGGCTTCGGGTCTTCTGGATGGCTCTCACCTTGCGTGGGGAGCCCCATTCGTCTCCGCTGGCCCTGCTGCTGGTGTTGCATCTTACCGTCCGGCTCCATCTTCAAAGGTCAAGTGCAAGAAGATACAGTCGCACTTCCAGGTATCCCCTTTTACGCGCAAAACTTCCTTTTTGTATATACAGTCACATCGGATAATACAATGTATGTTGGGTCGATACGTTGGATATTCATGCCCAGTATCCTAAAGTAGATCCCTGTCAAAAAAGATAGGTATACCCATATGCAAAACGGGAGGGCGACTTTCTGTGGTCGTTGGGACTAAGACTCCAACCAAAACGTTCCAAGGATTGCGATGGTACAACAAGCACCTTCCTGGTTTCGTTCGCGTCAAGCAAACGACAGACAGGCTCTGGGAGCTGCTGCTTTCCGGGCAAGACGTCGCTGGTGGTGAACTGTGGCTGGGACCGTCCGCGGATCGCGGCCACCGACGGTTTTGATCGCTCGCTCGCAGGCGTTGTGTGCTCGGGCAAGCTGGCTGCGGGCTCCGCTTGGCCGCTTTCTTTGCGAGAGTCTGGGGCTGAGTTGTTTCTGGGGCAGCACGATGACTTGACACACCGGCCCCTTCCGAACTCGTGGCTGCGTGAGTTACGAGAGCGCCCACGGTCACCGTCACCGGCAAGCACTGTCCGAAACCCGGGCATGATATAGCGCTCGTGTACCGCGGCCAACGTGGCGATAGCACGGTCTGCCCGACGCTTTGGCGCCGCCACTCTGCGCGCAGGGCCTTATCGGCGGCGATACGTTGTCGGCCCAGGTCGACTCGCTGGATCTTGGCGCTCGTCCTCTCGCGTCGAGAGAGCTTGTCTCATGCACGGAGTAAGTCCGCCCTGGCCAACGGCAACGGCGGCGTGGCTCCACGCGATGCCGCTAGACTCGGTTCCAGCGGCAACAAAAGACTGGAAAAGAAAACGCCGCGAACGTTGTCGCTCGGCGACATGGGTTCCTTTTGCGGTCTTGCCAGTCGAGCCGAGGCAGCAGCAGCATCTCTCGCCGACGACGGGCAAAGGAAAAATTCCGTCCCCGCCAGCGCCACGCTTGACAAGTACTCGCGAATCCAGCGCAACACGCCTCGCCCGGTCTGCGGGCCAACAGCGGCCTTGGGACCAGTTAAAGCGAGCGGGTGCCGCAAAGCGAGCTCGCCGTTACGTGGTACCCAGCTGCTGCAGCGTGAATAAGATGCCGGCCGTTGGTGTGGCTGTGCGCAGCGCATGTGGTGGGTGCCTCTGTGCACGTCATACTCGTCTTGCTGCTGCAACCGCTGGATATCCAAGGCTGGGTTCGGCGTGGAGGTTCGGAGTCCAGCGTGGAGACTCCCACTGTGGTGTGTGGACACCGTGCTTGCTCGTAAGATCGGTGGAGTGTCGAGACGCCGGAACGGCCGCAATAAGATTGCGCCGACGCAGCCGACCTGGCCCGTGTTATCCCTGCTTGACTCGTGGATGGCGCGCGCCTGATTCCCTGCAGGACGTGCTCGTCACGCAGTTCAGGCAGGCAGGCAAAAGGGCAACTGCAACTGCCGCTTCTGGCGGAGCTCGAGCGTGGCGTGGGATGATTCCTGGCCTAACGGATGAAGGACCCATGACGACGCCCCGCGCAGTTCGCCTGGCGTGCTGCCGCCGTCAAGATCGAGGCACTCGACAACCAGAAAGAGCTGCCAGTCAGCTGCTGTCACTGCATCGCCGTCCAGACCGAGCTCCACTTGCGCCAGCAACTTCAGTCGGGACGGACTGAACGGTATCGACACTCGGTTTCCCGCGCGAGCGGACATCTAGACTGTCGTGACTAAGCCCGCGCAGACGAGCGGAGGCTCTGCGGCGATAAGATCAGCGCTCTGTGGCCTCCCGCGTATTGTCGTCGACGCTTGCTCGCTCCCTGGCTAAGACCTCGACCGCCTGACTGCAGCTGAAACGTGAAGGCCCCTTTCAAGTTTCGGACCAGCGCTTCCTCGAGCACGACCGCGTTGGACATTTCTCGCACAGACAGTCGGCTCCGACGCCCACCAGCTCCGCTCACAAGCTTCACCGTTGCCCCTCGCGCCGCACGCTTCCTGTAGTTGATGGGTGTGCTCGGGCAGAGCCTCCACGCGCTGTCTAGCGTCCGGGTCGGTACTGAAGCCCCCCTTCCAATTGTCTGCCACGCTTGAAGAAGCTACACCACAAAGCCAAATGAGAGGCCAGTGCTCCGCCCAAGATCATCGAGCTGAGTGGCGCAGTGTACGACGTACGTGGCTCGTGCGTATTGATCGACCCAGAGCTTCACCCTCGAAGGTGCTATCTGGTACCCCTGAAGGACTTTCGGCTTGATTTCTTTGAGGTGATCTGAACGACGAGGGCGGCATCTGGCGCGCGAAAGTGCACGAGATCCGAGCGGCGTACGATAGTCGGTGTTTGTCTCGTGGTCATTGTGCCCACGGTTCGGAGTTTTGCAGATGGTCGGCTGCATTGAGTTGGTTGTTGTCGACTTCCTGGTAGTAGCTACCCTCATGACTCATGAGTCATGAGGACATTACACTCAGGCACTTCGCTGTATGTCCTCCATGCTTCCAACCCTTCCGTTGCGTAGTGGCGCTGATGGTTGCCACGTTTTCCCTCATCATCCGCATTCTCTTCGATGTAACCACTCTCAGTGGCGTTGGTCTTCTCCTCTGCACCGCCTTCATTTGCCTCAGGGAATACAGCGCTGTAACACCCCATTCTCCCCATGGCCCACCCCCCTAAGCAGAAGCGATCAATACAGTACAAATGCGCGCGAGCTACCGACCGAGATTCGTCAAAGTCTCCATCCACCTACGTACCATTTTTCGATTGTATCGCCATCGCCATGTACACGTTTGGTCGGCTCCGTCTTGGATACCTCATCTTCCCCGTCGCTACAGTATGCCGAATATTCGTGGTCACCCTGCACATGCTGCTACTGCAGCACCTCCCCGACAACACCCCTGTTTCAACAACATACAGTTGCCGCATCAATACTTAGTATTTACTACTCACCCTCCTTCAGCTGAAAGCAAAGACAATGCCCCCCCCACCGACTGCAGGGCAATTCTTCTGCGCCGAGGCTTCGATCGATTGCGCTATCGGCAGGAAAACAAACAATGACGATGACTTGTCCGCTCAGCAGCGATTTCTAACGTTACCTCTACAAATGCCTCCTCTACAAATGCCTGAGTGCCAACAAATACATAGCTTTTAGAAAGGGGAACGTTTAACCAAAGGAGGCGCTGCAGAGATTCCACATCCACCGCATTGTGCCACGGGGGACCATGTGCGGCCATATTGATAGTGGTTTGTGCTCCTCGGTTTTAACCTGTTTTTCGCCAGTTTATCGCCACGCCATGCAGTCTGCAGGCAAAACGCAGCGAAGTCAAGCCCTGTTGGCTTCATCCATCTCCCCATTGGCATTTTCATCTTGCCGACACGGATTGGCATACACCAATCTAGATGGTTGAACACTTGTCTCTATTGCTGACACCTAGACTATTGCGGCAACTTTGCCCCAACCTCTGCCTCCCCCGGTTCTGGCAACGGCCTCCTCGGATTCGACGCTAAGCTTGTCGAGATGCCCTGGGAGGTCAGCGTGAGCATAGGCTTCTTGGTGTGTTGCTCTGCTTCTTGTGACGATCTTCCTGCAGCACGTGAACCTGAAGGTGCCAAGTTGAAGTTGCCACAAGAGTGTTTGTCAGTAGGTATGGCGCCATCTTCTGTCTGGACCTCACTCTCCAATTCTCGCTCTCGGCAGCAAGCGGTGGCAAGAATCCTTTCAACCGTGGAGTATGCCCTCAACGTCGCTCAAGGCCAGGCGCGAGCAGCCCAAGCCGCACCGGCAGCGCGTCGTCGTCAACCACAGCGGGTGCAGCGAGAACGACAGCGACTGCAGCGACGACAAGGAGACAGCGCAGAGGAGGAAGACGATGACGATGACGATGACGATAACGATGACGATAACGACGACAACGACAACGACGACCATGTCTCCGACGTGAGCGGGAGGTTTAACGTGGACGAGCTTCTCGACTTGGGCCTTGCTCGCTACAGGGAGAAAGGCATCAAGGTGCTCTGCTTGCCCTGCTTGGAGGACGAGGTGGCGCAACTGAAGAAGCAGGTGCAAGAGCACAAGGCGGAGATGATGAGGCAGTCCGAGGACCACAAGAAGCAGTTCGAGGCGCTGGAGGGGAAGCACGTCAAGGACAAGGAGGAGCTGCTGAAGCAGGTCAACGCCAAGCTGCTGCGCGCCTTGTCAGGATCCTCTTCGACGAGCGCGGGGGCCGCCGGAAAGAAGCCTGCCAGCAAGCCCCCACGATCGAGGTCGGCGTCAACTGCCCTCAAGCCCTCGAGCACCAGCCAGTCGAGAGAGTCGAGCTTCAGCTCCCCCAAGGCCAAGTCGGCAATCTCCAGCTCGTCGAAGCAGTTCAAGGCCATCTCGCCCACGCCGGCGACGGCCAAGCGCGCGAGGTCGGAGCTTGGGTCCAAGTCCAGCCAGAAGATGAAGAGAAAATCGAGGGACGTCGACGACGAGCAGGAGGATGAGGACGACACGGAGTCCGATGCCGACGGCCCGCGCAAGATGAGGCGTAAATGATCCAGGAGGCGCACAGCCCGCGCCGGGAACGCCATGGTAGCTCGGGAACTAAGTGAGCAATTCACTCGATTTTTAACATTCATAGTACTTGGCACATCGAGAGCTCTTCCTGGACATCCCTCGCCTTGGCAGGCGCTCCGACGTCCACCGCAGGAAGTCAAATCGCTTGCTGGCGGCGTCCACCGCAGGAAGTCAAATCGCTTGCTGGCGGCGTCCACCGCAGGAAGTCAAATCGCTTGCTGGCGGCGCGCCACGTACTTGCAGGCGGTGACGCGCTCGGTGCAGAGAATGACGCGGCGACGGAACTTCAACAAGCCGCCTATTGGTCATAAATAACCAACCGTGCACACTTTTCATTGGTGGATATGCTGCGCATACAGATTTTGCGGGACACAGTACAACACCGTACAGCGGCCTTTGGAAAGGCGTCCCAGTAAAACTGCTCCGGCTCCATACTGAAGCGCAGTGAGCGGGCGAGTGAGCATTCCACTTACTCCCTTCCCCCCAGCCCAGCCCAGCGCCGCGATGCTGGTCGAGACGCTGCGGCGGCGAGCGCCGGCGTCGCTGTCGCTCATGACGTTCAACCTGCTGGCGCCGTGCTACTTCCGGCACGGCGGGCGGGTGGAGAGCGACGACCCGACGGCCTTCCTCTCGCGCGCGCAGGCCGCCATCCACGCCATCAAGCGCGAGCAGTGCGACCTCGTGTGCCTGCAGGAGTTCTGGTTCAACCGCGAGTACCAGCGCGCCTTCCGCGCCGCCTTCCACCCGACGCACTACCTGCACTCGGTCAAGCGGCCGGGCGACAAGCAGGACGGGCTCGCCGTCTTCGTGGACAAGCGCAAGTTCGAGCTGCACTACGTGGAGAACGTGGACCTCGTGGAGGAGGCGGGCGACCGCGTGGCGCTGCTCATGCACGTGGCCACCAAGTGGAACCGCGCGCGCGCGCCGCTGCCGCAGCGGTCCTTCATCGTGGTCAACTCGCACCTGACCTTCCCGCACAACGACATGTACGCAAGCCTGCGCCTCAACCAGATCGACCGCGTGCTCTCGGCCGTGCGCAAGTACATCGCGCGCCAGGACCTGCACGACGTGCCTGTGCTGCTCTGCGGCGACTTCAACGACTACAACGACCCCGTGTACCGCCTCGTGACCAAGCACGGCTTCGCCAGCATGTTCGCGCAGCTGCACGGCCGCGAGGCGCGCATCACGCACTGCAACCACAACAACCGCGAGGTGGGCGTCGACTTCATCTTCGGCGCGCGGTTGGAGAGCCCCCCGCTCAAGGCGGACGCGCGCGTGATCAAAGGCCTGCTGCGCGACAGTGACGGCGACGACGCGGATATGGACGTCAAGCCCTGCGTGCCCAGACTGCAGCTCAAGCCCGTGGACTGCCACCTCGTGCCGCGCCGCCTGCCCGACGTGGTGCGGCTCAAGCGCCCGCAGTTCGGCCACGACTGGCGACACGTGCAGACGCCCGTGCTGCTGAACGACGAGGAGGAGCTCGTGGACTACTGGCGGATGGTCTCGGACCACCGGCCGCTCGTGGCCAGGTTCGACATGCTGGACGGCGTCGGCTGCAGCGAGAAGGTCGCCATCCCGTCCCTAGAGAACGTGAGCGCGCTGGCCGCCGAGATGAAGGCGCGGCTGCAGAAGACCATCCCCTTGGACGCGGCCGCCGACGGCCTCACCCCGTAAGAAGGTAGACACCACGTGTGTCCGCCGGTAAGTTAATAGCGAAGAGTGTTTTTTTGTCTATTCCTCCTCATCCGGCTTAGCGTTGCTTTGCTTAGTTGGCGTACGGACCCAGCGCCTGTCGGTACGAAGTGACGTGGTGCAGCGCGCGCAGCAGCTCCTGCTGGGCCTCCTCGGCCTCCTGGATGGCCAGCGCCAGGTACTGCCGTTTCCAGCGCTGGAAGCCCGAGCGCAGCAGCACGGACGTCAACTTGTCGACGAAGGCGCGCGCGTTGGCGACGTGCTTCGGAGTCAAGAAGCGGCGCTTACCGGCTCTGGAAGCTGCTGAGCTACTGCTGGCGAGTCGGTCGAAGGCAGCGCGAAGTTGTCGTCGACGCGCACTGCGAGCCGTGGCGTTGACGACTTTCCAGGCGCTACGCTGCTGCGATCGGAGCAACTGGTGCTCGGCCACCAGCAAGTCCGTGAACAGTGCGCGCGCGATTCGTGCTGCGATGTCCGTTGTCGGCGTGAAGTGCTTGGACGCGACCTGAAGCTGCGTGGTCATGCGTCTCAGCGCTCGAGAGTCTGCCCGTACTTGAGAGAACCACACCCACAGGGCGAATCTGGTGAGGGTGTTGTGGTGGCAATGCAGATGCCTATTCATCCGGCGTAAGAGCACGAGACGTGTCCGGTTCAATGCGCTCCTGCGTTCCCAACATTGGAAGTATCGACGGAGAATTCGTCGGCGACTTGCGGCAGACACAGCCCGTGAGTATCCCTCACGCCGCTCACATCGGCTCCGAACGTACAACTTCCAGTTGGTGAAGGAGCTCAGCAAGAGCTGCAAGTGCGAATAGTATTCTACTGCAGTCTGGTGCTCAAGCTCTGCCAACACTAAGTTCGAGTGCAACAAGGCGGCATCCGCCTCTACTGTGAACGATCGCCAACGATTCCAGCCATGGAACAAGCGTCGGAGCTGCCACGAACGCTGGATCAGTAGACACAAGCGAAGTGCGTTCTGTTTGGCGAGGCCACTGCGGTTGTAGACTCCTCGCCATTGCCAGTACGTCTGGAGCAGCGTTTTCAGTCGCTTTCTTGTCTGCATAGCGGCAATGATGCCCTCTTGCCGTACTCGCACGTCGAGGGTCGATTTCCAACTGGCCCAGCACTTCTGAACCAGTTTGTGGTTGTGCCGACGCTCGGACGCTGCAAGCTGGCGTTTGATTCCCCGACACGTTCCAGTGAAGGATTTCCAAGAGAGGAAAACCCGCCGCTTAAGCCACTGCATGGCGCACGTGTGAACTACGTGTGCTGCCCACTCCGTCGCGTCCAGCTGCACTCGCCTCGCCGCATCAGCTGCGCGTAGCTGTGACGTGTAATACTGCCAGTGACGGAGAGCAAGTCGCTGGCATCGCCACGTCAATGACTTCATCTGCTTCTGCAGCGCTTGAGTTTGCCGAAGTTTATGCCTCCACACCTCAAATACGACTGAGACGCGCGACTTGCGCCCGAGCTCGAGCTCGCGATAAAGCTTCCTGGCCGCTGTACTCACCAACTGCTGCCGAAGCGCATTGTTCTGCTGTCCAAGCTGCGCGGTCCTTAGCAATAAGTGCTCGTGCTTGTCTTCCAGCGTGGTGATCCGGTTATCCCGTTCAGCTGCTGCATGCTGCCATTGCGCCACACGCTGGGCGTCAAGTACGCTGTTAGCGTGTTTTGTATACGATTCCCAACGCTCCCAGGCATCTTGGAGAGCGCAGACGACCAATCTGTCGAAGATGAAGTGCTTGATGTCGACGGAGCGTTGAGTGAAGAACACCCACGCGGTCCAGATCCGTCGTTGACGACGAAAGTCCCACAATTCCTGCCGTCTGCGCAGCTTCCGTTGCAGGATTGCTCTCCGTCGCGTGCACTGTTGCCAGTTGATGAAGCAGCGCTGCACACTTCGTTTCTGAGAGCGTTCGTGTGTCTGTCGGATCATTAGTTGCCCCTTTGCTTTGGCTTTCGCGTATCTGATCCACTGGAAGAAACATCGAGTGAACAGATCGGAGTGTGTCCTCCGCTGCAGAACGAGTGTGATCCCGCGTATCAATTTCGTTTGGCGCTCTCGCTGTCTTGCGCTGTGGGCTGAGTACGCTGACGCCGCCACGACGGACTGGTACCGAATGACTTCGTGGTGGTGATGGCGTAGCGCTGAGAACCCTCGCCGCCATCGCCACACCTCATACACCCTGATCAATCGGATTAACTTGTTGTCGACATCCTGCACCCAAGTACGCCAGTCATTCCACCGATAGAGGCCGAGGGCGAGAAGCTCACGTCTCGTCCTGCTTAGTATTTTCTCGAGTAGATACACTCTGCGCTTGGACTGAAGAATAAGTGCACGCCAGGAGCACCAAACACTGCGAAGGAGGCGACGAGTGCAGTGCTGGGCGAGCGCGATCCTTTGTTCCACGATGTATCGCCGGCGTTGCTCCACAAAAACTTTCCAGCGGGCAAAGTGCGCCTCGAGGCATGGACGCTGCCACGACAAGAACTTCACGGCTGCTATGCGCTGTGCGGTCGCCTCTCGCTGGCGTGACATTGCCAGTTGTGTTTGCTTTAGGTGCTGCCGGTGTGCTGCCACGAGAATCCACCTACTCCAACGGTCTAGTGCAGCGCGGAGTTCCCGTGCGTGGTGGCGTCTTACCACTCGATGGATGAGCTGCTGGCGTTGATTCTGCCGGCCCACTATCGTTCTCCACTTCTGGAAATGCCACGCTGTGGTCACCTCAATTCGCTTCTCGAGTACGTCACGCAGATGGCGCTGGAGTCGCTTTGTGCAGTCAAGACGGTGCTTCCACGCGACGAACGCCGACGTCTGGCAGCACTTTTGGTGATGCCGCATCGCTAACTTTTCCTTGAATGCCAGTATGGACTCGGCCAACGATGCCTGCGCTTCTGTCAATGCTGCGTCCTTTGCTAGGAGACTATCGATGCGCTTCCAGTGGTTCCAAGCGTGGCGCAAGAGAATTTTGCGGCATATCAAACCAGCGCGTCGAGCTCCAGTCGATCTTCGATCGTGCTGATGATACATGTCCATGAGTTTGGACCACGCAGCAGCTTTTAGCCTCCGGGTGGTAATTGCTAGCAGTCGTTCAAGGCAGCGCTGTGTCTGCGTGCGCATCGTCCACGCGCTCCACGAATTCTGCATCAACCGTAGCTGTTGTTTCAATACAATAGTCTGCAAGCTTTCACGAGCTGTCCTCTTCCGAGTGGCGAGGGATCTCCACGAGGTGAACACGAGGCGACGTTCCCGCTCGGTTCGTATCTCCTCTGCAAGCGCCATCACTCGGTCCTCAGAGCGACGGAACAGTTCAGCGCTGATCCTGTCGCGCTCAAAGAGCGTTTGCCTGTGTGCCCGACGCTCCCACAGCCTGAACACCTGGCGCTCAACAGATAGTCGGAACTTGTTCAGCAAGTGCTGTAGCACTCGGTGCTGCTTGGTCAGAGGAGAGCACGCGATCTTCCTCTGCCATTGGCGTAGCGAGGCTTGGAGCGTCATGTATCGTCGTTTTTCGGCGAAGAGGGCTCGTCGGCGTTGCCGCCGCTTACTCTCAGCAGCAATCGATCGCCACTTCCGCATCATGCGACGCAGTAAACTGCTCCTCATCGTGGACTGAAGCACGCTGTCGACATGTTCTTGAGCTTGGAGCGTTGAGATCTGCAGCGTTGCGATTGTACCACACAACGAGGCTCGCATCCAGCGTTGCCACTTGTTGTAAAGGCTCTGAAGATGTCGGCGTCGGCTTATACGCCTCAGCGCTGCGCGTCTCCGAACCATCAACGCCGAGTGGTGATGCCAAACCTGAAGGCATTTCCTCCCGCGTGCACGGCTGATGTTGGTTCGGAACGCTCGAACGATGGCCCTTTCTCGAGCCTGACGCCGTCTCCAATGTGTCTGCCATGACGTGAAGGCTGTGGTCAAAATCGCTCGCTGCAAGGCGCTTCGAAGCCCGGACAACGCTCTCTTCTGCTGGGACTGGCGCTTGTGCAAGCGGAACGCTACGAACCCGATCCATCGACGCCACAGTCGCGCTATGAGCTCGTGTTCAGCGTCTTCTCTTCTGGCAGTCAACTTTTTGTAGTGGTCGTGCTCCTGTCTCCAGGACTGGAAAGCTTGTCGCCGGCACTTGTCCGTGGATCGCTGAAGGAACTGCCCGAACCATCGCACGCGCTGTTGTCGAAGGTGGTGAGATTGGCGCCAGGCGCGGAAACACGAACGCTGCTGATACCGCGCGAGTCTCAGTCGAAGTCGCTCGTGAGTGTTGCGCCTCCAGGAGTCGAAAGCGACCTGGAGCGCTCGGAGGCGTCGAGTCAAGTGGTAGCGATGCAGCTGGTTACAGCGTACAGCATTGCCGTCGTTGAAGTGGCCCCAGAGTTGAAGGGCAGCTCGGAGCGCCTTCTCTCGCTTACGAGCTGCTAATCTCCTCAGCGCGTGCCGCTGACGCGCGTGGGTTGATGTGCGCTTGGACCAGCCGCAGAAGACCCGGCGCAAGAGCTTCTCGTGCTTCTTGTTGGCCATGAGCAGAGCGCACGTGATCTGGTACTTCAAGGCCACCCTCCTGCTGCGTCGGATCTCCTCTTGGCAGGCGGCCCGCATTGCGTCTGCTTGCTGGGAGAGCTGCCACAATTCGACGTGAGCTATCGCATTGTGCTCGGCAACGGCGGATCGGATGTGGAGGCAGACCCAGCCCCTCAGCAGCCAAGCTCTCCGCAGCTTCGACAACAGAGCACGGAGTCGAAAGCGGCGCTGACGTCTACGCTTGAGCGCGTCAGCAAACAGTCGGAAGCAGTTGGCTTTGGTGACTTCATCTCGGCGAGTATCCCGCGCTGCTATCGCGCCCTTGGTGCGTCTGGCTCGGCCTGCTACTCGCTTCCACGACGCGAAGAGCCTTCGCATTTCGCTGCGGCGGTGCTGGAGCCGCTGGAAGCGAAGAGCGATCGCGGTCTTCTGCTGAGTGTGGAGCATCTCGCACCTCAACATCATCAGCGTCCGATGCTTGCACTCCCGCCGCTTGAAATCCTCCAGTCGCTGGGTCTGCAGCTCCGTGAATCGTTGTTGGCGCTGCTGTTCTCGGATGTAAGCGGCGTGTAGCTCGCTAGCAGCGGAGGATTGCACCTCCTCTCGAAGCCTCCGCTCCTCTTCCATCGCCACGTGCGCCGTCTTGAGGACTTCGGACCATTCGTGAGCTGACACCTCCGCACACCGCAGACGCAATGACGTCAACCCGAGCTGCTGGATCCTCCGACTCGTCCTGGCGAGCACTCGACGGACTAGCACCTTTTGCTGTCGGACAACCCGCGCACGTGACCTCCACGTAGCAAACACCAGGCGCAGTGAGCGCTCCGACGCGAGTCTCACGAACTCTCGATGTCGTCGCTTCCAGCGCACAACCCGCTCCCAGTTCCGCCACACCTTCCGCAGGAGCTGCCAGCGCACGAACTGCCTCGAGTCACCGCTAACGAGCATTGAGTATGTGCGTTCCGTGCTTCGAGTGAGAGCCGTCACCTGGCCGCTGACCATCGGATGAATCTTAGCGCCCCCCGTACTTCTCCCGGTCACTGCGCAGTAGTGTCTCCAGTTGTCCAAGCCTCGCCCCAAGGCTCTCCGTCGATACCGAGCGAGCAACTTCAGTATCGCCTCACGACGCCGACCTCGCAGCTGGACTGCGTGCTGCAGCGACTGGAACGCGTCACGCTGCTGCCTGTCGCGGACTCTTCGGTTCATCATTCGCAGCGCCAAGTCCACGTACCGCTGCCGCTGCTGCTTGCTCTGCTGGTGCAGAGTCTCGAGCTCTGCTCTGCGCTGGGCCTCTCGACCTCGAGAGCGCTGCACCACCTGGTCCGCGACGCCTTTGTTCACCTCCACGATCGTCAGCAGGTCCTTGACTTTGGCCTTGCTCGCTTCCAGCTCGGCGGTGCGGACGTCCGACGTCTGTAGTGCCCGGGAGAGCTGCCATTTGAGTCGCCGACGCTCCTGCTCGAGCTCGCGCAGCACTGATTCCTTCACGTACACGCACGCGTCGTCGGAGTCCTCGAGAGCCATAGCCGCCCACCCGGCCGCGGCCGTCTACATGCAGAGCCCGAAACGAATGGTGACTCGTGGCAGACCATGAAACGAATGGGGACCGGACGTGTTGATTGATACGCGACTGGCAACTTGCAACTGGCGGGCTGGCACCTTGGCACCTTAACAAACGTGATCAACATGTTCACGGGACTTGACTTTTAGCCGGTCAAATATGGCAATGGAGCTTCTCGCTTCAACCGATGATGAAACCTTCTCGTAGTTCATCAGTTCATCAGAACAAACGGCCGGGTGATTCTGGAGTGGAGGATCACGAACGGAGAATTGTTGTCACTTTGGGGGGGGGGGGGGGGGCTGGCAAAGCTACCCCGGATTTTGATTTTTCACTTCTGGTCGATTGATGCAATCGGTGGTCGGCTGTAACCTTGGCTTTGGGAGCACGGCAATTATTCGCCTGCGCTACGAATTGCAGCCTCTTGTGGGTTTCACTCTTCTTGTCCCCGAGGAGCTGGGAGACCTTAGACCTACCTCCGAAGTACTGGGCGGCAAGTATTTATACGAACAATCCCCACGTTCCCATGTTCCCATGCTCAGGCCATTGGTAAGATGCGGTGCCTGTACTTAGTGCAGTTCGTATCGAGCTCGTTTTCTGGTTATTCTCGGCCGGTATGTTCGCACCACGACCTGCGCGTGAGCAACATAAGAGCTTGAGGCCTGTTTCGGTGCCAAGACGAAAACGTCGATCAATCCGTCATGGTGCTGGTGCTCCACACGCTGGCAGGCAAATACTAGAGCTGCCACATCTACCTTGTTGTGATCGGGAATTCGTCACCAGCCACCATGGGGTCGGCCGTGTCCAGGTTGCTGGCCAAAACATTGCGTCGAAGGCCGCTTCACTCGCATCACAGGACGTCGACGTCGAGCTCGCGAGGGGGGTCAGCCGCCTCACACTCGACAGCGCCAGCGATTCCGAAGCGCCTGAAGAAGTTTTCCTACTCGGAGGTGCGCCTCATGAAGCAGTACCTGCCGTCCTTCGTCTACTATGAAAAGTCCACGGAGAAGCACCGGCAGATCGCCGCGCAGCACTGGGAACGAGTCTTCAACGCTGCACCTCCGCGCAAGAATTCCATGACACCGACCGATACCCCCAGCGGCGCAAATAAGGAGCCAAAGCACCTGAACAAGGCGCAAAATAGCAAGATCACGGAGCTCTACGACGTCTTTTATGCCTACCTAGAGGAGCACGGCGGGGACCTGAAGCACGTATTCCGATCCTCCATGCACGTCCGCGGCCGCGTGCTAGTCCACATCAGCGCTGGCATGCGGACCATGTTGGCGTCCGACAACATCACGGACAAGATCGCTGCTCTCACCAAGACCCACCGCCGATTCGGAGTGAAGCCCGAGCACTACGACTGCGTGGAGCGAGGGCTCATTCACGCCATGGAGCGCACGTCGGGCGAGAACTGGAGCCCGGAGATCGACGACGCCTGGAGGCGGATGTTCTCGCACTCGAGCGTGATTCTCATCCGTTCGCAGAGGAAGGACGAGAGGCAAAATGCCAAGGAGTTCGCACGCTTGGCCAAGGCGAAGGGGCGACTGTCGAACGGAGGCGTGTCGACTTTGGTGGGCGCGAAGCCGTCGGGGTTCTCGTTGAGCATGGGGGCAAAGTTTTCGAGCGCTTTCTCGTCACGGTTCTCGACGGCCTATTCGTCGACAGCAGAGAAGACACGGTCAAGAGCACAAGGGAGCGAGGAGGTGTCGTTCACCCCGGAGGTGGGAACGCGGCTGCACTCAAAACTGTCGAGGAACAGTTCACCGACCTGAGAGACCAGTAGAAAAACAAGAGTGAGCAACGTATTTACTGTACTGAATTACGCACGCTGCCAGTTCGAGCTTGCGCTTGTTTCTTCGACCCACCCAGGATGTGCTCTTGAGCCAAACACCGAACTGTGGCAGTTTGAATCGTCACAGCGGAGCGTACAGCTCGCATAACGACGTGACTTCTAGTCGTCTGACCTGATCAATAAAAAATGTGAGCTCATCGTGTCGGTGAAGGAGCCAACCTCATGCTGTTCTTATGTCACTGCCCGCGAGCGTATCCCTAGCCGAATGAGCCGGGAACTGAGTGCCAGTCTTGTCCAACTGAAGCTATTCCTGACACCGACCGATACACGTTGCATGAGGTCCTTGACAGGAAGTTCTTTTCAATTCATGCAGCTCTCGCTTGTGCTGTGACCCGAAACAACACACATTCGCCATGACCTGGCATTCAGTCACATAGAGATGTAGAACAGCCTCTCTCAAGGGCGAGCAGCGTCCTGACCCCTGCCAGTCGAAGATATGTTCTCAAGTGTGATTCATGATGCATGTACGCTAAACAGTATATAAATACCCCCCCCCCCCCATCAACATCCATCAACATGGCCTCGCCTCGCGAACTACGAAGTAACGGAAGCACGATGCAGTGTTCACATGCACACGCGTTTCGAGAGGACGATCTCGATGTAAACTTGCACAAAATGCATAATGAGTTGTACCATATCAACCAAGCATGTTGATTCTTCATATGCATCCTCTTCAGATGCACCTTTCTTACAGTAATGTCGATCCATACTTTAGTTGAGCGAAACACGGCCCCCACCCTCCAACGCTCTGCTCTGCCGTCGCGTCCAGTGCCGTCCTACCTCGATGTATTCCTGGTGCGTGGCATGGTTAATGATTAGTGGAGCAGCATAAGAACCTGAGGCGACCCGGGCTTCTGGGTTTGAAGACGCTACAGCACCCCTACCTTCCCTCGAAAAACAGGCCGCCACCACTCGAAAGCACAGTGCTATCGTTCGTTCGGGTGGAGGAAGCGCGTGACTCGCATCGTGGTGGTGGTGCCTTCAGGTGTTGGTCGTCATGGGGTCGGGCTCCTCGCGCCACGGGCCGCCGGCTCCTGCCGACTCGGCCAAGATCAAGCCCCCCAAGAAATTCTCGTACGCGGACGTCCGACTGATGAAGAAGTTCCTGCCGTCCTTCGTCTACTACGAGAAGTCGACCGAGCAGCACCGACAGATCGCGGCCCAGCACTGGGACAAAGTCTTCAAGGACGCCCCCACGCAGCGCACGAGCCATGTCGCGTCGGCCACTGCGAGCATGCACAAGGAGGCCAAGCACATCACCAAGGCCCAGAACAACAAGATCACGGAGCTCTACGACGTCTTCTACGCGTACCTGGAGGAGCACGGCGGCGACCTGAAGCACGTGTTCCGGTCGTCCATGCACGTCCGCGGCCGCGTGCTCGTGCACATCAGCGCCGGAATGCGGACCATGTTGGCGTCCGAGAACATCGCGGAGAAGATCTTGGCGCTGACCAAGACACATCGGCGGTTCGGCGTCAAGCTCGAGCACTACGACTGCGTGGGGCGCGCGCTGCTGCACGCCATGGAGCGGACTTCAGGCGACAACTGGAGCCCCGAGATCGACGACGCGTGGAGACGCATGTATTCCCATTCGAGCGTCATCCTCATCCGCACGCAGAAGAAGACCGAGAAGCAGGCCAGCAAAGACTCCAGGCGCGCGGCCAAGGAGAAGGACAAGTTCGCAATGGTCAACGTCGGGCCGTCCTCCAACCTCGTCATCACCAAGACGGGCCGCGTCAACTTCTACACAATCATGACCTCGCTCCGCAGCCGAAGAGAGGGCAGCAAAACCAGCGCCAAGGTCACAGGAGCTCAGAGTGAACGGGAGATCGGGCCTCGCAGCCCGATAATCCCGTAGTCACCTGTTCAATAGGTTAGTGTCTCCCCCCAGGCACCGACACCTCCAATAGTGTAGATGGAATCACAAGCAGTGCGCGATGGATATCGATTATGAACATGAATAAAATGCAAAACATATCAACCTCACCAGCTTTCGACTTCCGTGTACACGGTACTCAACCACTCACATCGTGTTTCCCACCCTTAGTCGGACGAGTTCCCACTACGCCGCCGGAAACTCGAGCCGCCAGAGCTTGGCCGAGCAGGTTTTCCCACTGCAAAGTCGTCTCCACGGAAAGAGGACATCGACTTCAAGGGTCGAATGGACGAGCTGGCCACTCGACTTTCCTTGTCGCCGTCGTCGTACTCGATCACGTACGTTCCGTCAGCGTTCGCCCGGGAGATTGTTCCCTTGAAGTACTTGTCCTTCCCCATGTATCGAGCCTCGACGCGCGTGCCGACTCGATAGGTCGGGCTCGAATCAGCGCCACTCGACTTCGCCTCGCCCTTCGCCTCTGACTTCGACGGCGCATCCTCCTTACTGCTCTTACTCGCTGCTGCACTCGCAGCCTTCACCAACCGAATATGCAGCGAATGCACACTTGCTTCATACTCTCCATCATCGTACTCGATGGCATAAGTATCAGAAGAGCACACACGGGCAATGGTACCTGGATAGAACTTGCTCTTGCCCTTGTACTGGGCCTCGACCTTGTCGCCCTCTTTGAACTTCCTGGCCTTCGGGTCGTCGTCGCTGTCGCCGCCGCCCTTCTTGCCCAGCAACCGGATCAGCTCGGCCGCCACACCCGTCTCCTTCTCGCCGTCGTCGTAGTCGATGTCGTACGTGCCGTTCAGGCGGCAGCGCGAGATCACACCCGGGTAGAACTTGCTCTTGCCCTTGTACTGGGCCTCGACCTTGTCGCCCTCTTTGAACTTCCTGGCCTTCGGGTCGTCGTCGCTGTCGCCGCCGCCCTTCTTGCCCAGCAACCGGATCAGCTCGGCCGCCACACCCGTCTCCTTCTCGCCGTCGTCGTAGTCGATGTCGTACGTGCCGTTCAGGCGGCAGCGCGAGATCACACCCGGGTAGAACTTGCTCTTGCCCGTGTACTGGGCCTCGACCTTGTCGCCCTCTTTGAACTTCCTGGCCTTCGGGTCGTCGTCGCTGTCGCCGCCGCCCTTCTTGCCCAGCAACCGGATCAGCTCGGCCGCCACACCCGTCTCCTTCTCGCCGTCGTCGTAGTCGATGTCGTACGTGCCGTTCAGGCGGCAGCGCGAGATCACACCCGGGTAGAACTTGCTCTTGCCCTTGTACTGGGCCTCGACCTTGTCGCCCTCTTTGAACTTCCTGGCCTTCGGGTCGTCGTCGCTGTCGCCGCCGCCCTTCTTGCCCAGCAACCGGATCAGCTCGGCCGCCACACCCGTCTCCTTCTCGCCGTCGTCGTAGTCGATGTCGTACGTGCCGTTCAGGCGGCAGCGCGAGATCACACCCGGGTAGAACTTGCTCTTGCCCTTGTACTGGGCCTCGACCTTGTCGCCCTCTTTGAACTTCCTGGCCTTCGGGTCGTCGTCGCTGTCGCCGCCGCCCTTCTTGCCCAGCAACCGGATCAGCTCGGCCGCCACACCCGTCTCCTTCTCGCCGTCGTCGTAGTCGATGTCGTACGTGCCGTTCAGGCGGCAGCGCGAGATCACACCCGGGTAGAACTTGCTCTTGCCCTTGTACTGGGCCTCGACCTTGTCGCCCTCTTTGAACTTCCTGGCCTTCGGGTCGTCGTCGCTGTCGCCGCCGCCCTTCTTGCCCAGCAACCGGATCAGCTCGGCCGCCACACCCGTCTCCTTCTCGCCGTCGTCGTAGTCGATGTCGTACGTGCCGTTCAGGCGGCAGCGCGAGATCACACCCGGGTAGAACTTGCTCTTGCCCTTGTACTGGGCCTCGACCTTGTCGCCCTCTTTGAACTTCCTGGCCTTCGGGTCGTCGTCGCTGTCGCCGCCGCCCTTCTTGCCCAGCAACCGGATCAGCTCGGCCGCCACACCCGTCTCCTTCTCGCCGTCGTCGTAGTCGATGTCGTACGTGCCGTTCAGGCGGCAGCGCGAGATCACACCCGGGTAGAACTTGCTCTTGCCCTTGTACTGGGCCTCGACCTTGTCGCCCTCTTTGAACTTCCTGGCCTTCGGGTCGTCGTCGCTGTCGCCGCCGCCCTTCTTGCCCAGCAACCGGATCAGCTCGGCCGCCACACCCGTCTCCTTCTCGCCGTCGTCGTAGTCGATGTCGTACGTGCCGTTCAGGCGGCAGCGCGAGATCACACCCGGGTAGAACTTGCTCTTGCCCTTGTATTGAGCTTCGACAGGTTGGCCTACTATAAAGGATGGTTTGTTTGCTGAGGGTGTCTCCGTCATTGGCTTTGTTGTGCTTTTGGCTAGTGGCGCGGAGTCTGCGGCACGTACGTGCATTGCAGGCACCGCAAGGACCTTTTCCCCGTCATCGAAGGTGATGTCGTAAGATCCATTCAAGCGACAGCGAGCCACTACGCCGGGATAATAGCCATCCTTCCCTTTGCGTTTCGCTTCGATTTCTTGTCCTTGCTTGAATTTATGTTTTGGCTGAGCAGAAGAATCGTCGCTTGTTGTCGGTGCACTTGGTCTCTTCACCAGAGGCCGTTTCGGTCGAATTGGTTCATCCTCACTTTGGACAGGCTTTGGTTTCACCGCCGAGCTTGCGCCTGCACGAATATTTGCCCCCGGCACGCGTTTCTCCAGATCGCCCGACTCCAGCTCCAAGTCGCAACTTCCGTCAGCGTTCACACGAAACACAATGCACTGTACGTAGTCCTGGTACCCACGTAATTTGGCCTCCACCTTTTGCCCCTTTGTCCACGTGACCTCGGATGCAGAAACATCGTCTTGCTTAGGGGGCCCAGGGCTCGGTTTCTTTGGACTCGGCTTCTTCCGCTCTTCACGTTTAATATACTTCGAGCGAACTCGCAGCTCCACCTCGCCGTTGTCATACTCGATGTCATACAATCCGCCAGTGCGGCACTTCTTGATCTTACCAGCAAAATAGCGCTCTCTTCCTTGAAACCGAGCTTCGACTCGGTCGCCAGGCTCGTACCCTGGATCTTTTTCGTCGTCAGAGTCCTTTGCTTTCGATTTCTTCTTGGTCTCCTCACCGTCTGACAGATCCCGAGCCTTGATAACGCGTGCTCGCGAGATTTCGAGGATGCAGCTTTCCTCGACGTTCTTTTCCAAGAGCCCACTATCAAACTCGATATCGTACGTTCCATTTGGTCGAACCCGTGCGATAACACCGACTTCATAGCCTCTTTCTCCCAAGGGTATGGCTTGAATCTCTTCGCCTCGTTGAAATCGAGGCTTCTTCTCCTCTTTCTTCCGGGCTGAACGAGAACGTTTTTTCTCTGATTTCCGCCTGCTCACTCGACGGCGGCCCGACGAACTAGAAGAGGAAGAAGAGGACGAAGATGAGGAGGAGCTGGATGAGGAGCTGGACACGTAGCGCTTCTTCGACCTCTTCTTCTTCTCCGCCCTCGACATCTTTTTGTTGCTTGCATTCAGTGGCCGTCCACACATCTCGCAGTCCTCCATGTCGTAGTTGTTGTCGAACTTGCAATGCAAGCATTTGATATACCCTTCGCCGCGCAGCCCAGGCCGCGGCTTAGAAGTCTCGCATATTTCGCAGTGAGTGGCCCAATCGGCGATCTGCTGATGTGCGCAAACTCGACAGACCCATCCAAGCCTCGGCAAAGGAGTAGCGAAATCAGGACTGGCGGCAGCATGGTCCACAACTCGAGGAGCTTGAGTTGCGACCGGCACCACAGTCTGCAGCTCGTAGCCTCGCGCAGGGCTCTCCTGATCGAATGAATGAGGACTAGTAACAAGGTGAGGGCCACACTTTCGTATCGCTCCATGCAAGCACAAGAACAACAAGTCACTTACCAACCGCCTGACCAGCTACTAAAGCGAGGGGGAGAGCTCTCCATTCTGTGGTTCGTTGAACTGGCGGAGGCGCTCCTGGCAACCCCCACGTCGGTCATCTCAAGGAAACGCACATACGAGACGGACGTCGTATCGGTCGGCTTCGCCAGTTGGATCATCAAGAAATGCAGCGTCGTCTCTGGCATTGAGACGCTATAGTCTCTCAGAATAGTAGCGAATGTCGCTCGAGGCACAAACCCAGTCCGGTGCATATCATACTGCACAAAGACGTCTCCAAGCTCGATGCCGCTGTTCACCAGCACGCTCCGTCGAGCAGCCACCATCGACCGCATGTTGTCCCTGGAATGGAGGAAAAGCCCCGTTAGAAAAAGGCTTAGCTGTCAAATGCACAGGCCAAAGGGGCCACTTACAACTCCTGCGCGTCCAGTTCCAAGAACCGACTCAACGACATGTAGTCGATCAGCCCCGACCCCGGGATACTGAAGAGCTGGCCGATACTTTGCAGCACGTGGTCTCGCAGTATCACGCCCACCCTAGCCAGCGCCTCCTGTATCGAGCCGAGCCGGATTCCGCCCGTGTACGACATGTCGTAGCACTGGAAGAACGGTCCCAAGTCCAGATACGCTTGGGCTCGCACCAGCGCCTCTCGCACTTGCTGCTTCAGCTGCTGCGGCGTGGACACTGGAGAGACGGCGGCGACGGAAGCAGCAGGAGAGTAGCTTCGAGGCACTGGGTCGCTCCACTGCCCCGGCCGATGAAGGCCATGCGCCATCCCTACGCCAGAGTGCTGCGGCATGAAGGTTGCGTCGTGCATGGCGTCCATGTGGGCCACTGGGCTGATGGGGATCATTGGCGGCCCTCCCGACTGGTAGTGGATCGGCGACATGAGGACGCCTCCGCCTGGGCCGGCGCCGTAGTGGCCGTGGCCATGCATCACGGCACTGGGCGACGTCGCAGGACGCTGGTACGGGTACTGCTGCTGGTGGTACATGGGGTAGCTCGCAGCGCCGTAGGGGTCGTAGTGGTGGTGATGCGGCGCCGGCGGGTCCATCCTGCTCGGCTGTCTGTAGGCCGCCGCCGTGGGGGCTGGCACGACCTCCCGCGAGTGGGTGATGCCCCGCCAGTACTCGGGGTCCAGCGGCGTGGGGCGCCCGTCGCTCGAGTCGAAGTCGTCGTCGTCGTCGGAGCTGTCGGAGCGCGCCAAGTACGCGAGCGCCTCCATCTTCATCTGCTGTCTCGGCTTCTGCTAGTGCAAGGAGTGCGCCCCGTCGACAGGATCGCGCCGGCCAAAACCGACCCGCCCCAGGAATAACGTCCAGGCGGCGGCGGCAGGTCTGCATTGATCGAAGGCTCCTGCCGGGCGGGCCGGGCCGCACGAGGCCAGTCAGCGCAAGCCGTCAGCGTCGCCAGCCTTCATTTCCGCAATTCCGCAATTCCGCAATTCCGCAACACGCCGATTGGTATGGTTTTTGCACAGTACTAATAAGCACTTCAAGCGTCCACGTCGATGGATCGGAGGACCCCACAAGGACGAGGACGATCAATAGCAAACAACTCAATTGACCGCTTTAGTTGAGGCGACCTGCCTGCCTGCCTACCTGCCTGCACAGCAGGCAATTGCAGTGACTACACGAATTCCCTGTACGCCCGCCAGCCGCGGCTTCACTCGTACAGGATGCTGTAGCTAAAGTCCTTGTTCTCGTCGTCCGTCTTTTCGTGCTTGGAGCGCGAGCGCCTGGTGGCCACAGCCAGCACGACGGCCACGAGCAGCACGACAGCGCCTCCGACCACGCTTAGGAACGAGGTCTGCGTGCCGGTGGCGTCCACGTCGCCGGCGTTGGTGGCCAGCAGGGCGGTGGCCGTGTTGCCGTTCTTGTTGCCGGCCAGGCTGTCGGCCAGGTCCTTCAGCTTCTGCTCCTGCTGCGTCTGCTCGTCGTCGAACACGTCCGCAGCCGGGCTGTCGGCCGCCAGCTCGTCGTGGATCTCCGTCGCCACGACGGCCGTACCGTCGGCCAGGAAGTTCACGAGCTGCTCGATTTTGTCCTGCTGCGCGGCGTCGCTGGCCAGGAAGCTCTGCAGCGCCGCCAGGTCCGCGGGCGCGGCCGGGTGTTCTGCAGGAAACGCCGCAGCACCATTGTCACCGTCGTTGTCGTCCCGGGCCTCCAGCTCTAGCGGCGGCGCGAGGATGTTCAGCAGCGCATCGAGCTGATCTTGCTTGGCCTGCTGCTCCTCCGCGAACACGTCGGTCTCGGCGAGGAGGTGCTGGCTGTCGGTGGTAAGCGCTTGCATTGCGGGTAGCGGCAGCAGAGGAAGGAGTGCGGGGAAGATGGAGCTCAGAGCTCGAATGGTCCTTTGACACGCCTGGCCGCGTCGTTTCGACCAAGATCTCATTGAGTTGCCCATTCAGGGTGCAATTCTCTCAATTAGCAACTGTAGTACCGTATCGGACCACGGGACGGACGTTGACGATCTCGCAGACAGTTGGGATGGCGTTCCGGGGCGTGCTGCTGCAGCTGGCCGAGGCCGAGAGCGAGGCGGGCTTCCGCGTGGTGGCCCCCGACGCGGCTCTGACGCTGCCGCCGCGGCCGGCGCCCGCGCGCGAGTCGTTCCTGACCAAGTGGAGCCAGCAGAAGCTCGTGGTGGCCGATGCCGTCAGTGGGGGATTGCTGCAGGTGACGCGCCTGGCCACGGTGGCGTTGCAGCCGCAGGAGCAGTCGGTGCTGTGGGGCGTCACGGTCCCGTTCCCGCCGCCCGAGGCCCGAACGGTGGGCGCCGCGCCCCTGGACAGCTACGCGGATGCGGCGCCGGCCGTCAAGAAGACGCACGTGCTGACGGCCGCGGCCAGCCGCAAGGACTCGGCGGCGGCGCACAAGGACGCGTCGTCGTCGCTGGCCGCGGCCGTGGCCTCGCCCAGTCTCATTGCGCGGGCCGACGCGCCGCCGGGCCACACGCTGCTGCGACCCCACGCAGGGTCCGCGCCGCCCGCGCGCCTGTGCTACTGCTTCCACTTCCGCTCGAGCTTCGAGTACGAGCTGTTCGCGCGCGCAGTGGCCGCGTTCACGCGCATGCAACGGTACGCGCTGCTGCAGAGCTCTGTGGTGATGGAGATGGAGATCAGCCAGGAGTATAAGAAGAGCAAGGCGCTGGACGGCGTGCGGGTGCAGGCCGCGGCCGTCAAGGCCAAGAAGCGGCAGGAGAGGATTGAGCTCCTGAAGGCCAAGCGGGAGGAGAAGAAGCCCGCGCAGGCGAAACCACAACTGCAGATTCAGACGCAGACGCAAGCCAAGAAGAAGGCCAAAGCCAAGGTCACGGTCGCCACGCCGCCCAGCAAGATGCTGTGCGTCTTGTGCCGCATCCAGAGGAAGCCTGACGCGCCAGAGTACCCGAAGCACCCGTTCGTACTCAAGGTTGGTGATGTGTTGCTCAAGTTGATGGCGCTAGTGGTTTGGTGCTAATGGTATCGTGTGTGCTGTGACTGCTGGACAGGACGGCAAGGGCGAGGTGGTCCATATCTGCAAGGTTTGTTTGCAGCGGGTCCTGACGCAGCGACTACAGTCGCCGCCGGTCGCTAAGGGCAGTCGCGACAACTTCTGTGGGCTGTGCGCCCGGTCGACAGACAAGATGACAGCCAAGTCGATCAAGGCGTGCGCGCACAACATTTGCACGCGCGTGTATTGCATGCCCTGCATCGACAAGCTCATCGGCAAGGCGCAGGCACACAAGGTGTGGCGGACGAAGAACTGGTTGTGCCCGAACTGCTCAACAGATGATGATGATGAAGTCGCTGCTGGCGAAGAAGTAACCAGCGCCGATGCTGTGCCGGCGGAGGCTGTTTCGACTGCACCGGCCCCCAAGCAGAAGAAGCGGAAGCGGCGTAACGAAATTGAGGAGAGCACCGCAGATGAAGACGGCCCAGAACCGCCGATGCAAGTCAACTCCGAGCCAGCGATGAAACCGCTTGACTACGTGGTGACATATTTCAAGTTCTTGTTGAAGCGCGAGGTGAAGGACGAGTTCAAGGAGTCGGAGGATGTGTGCTTCTGCTGCAAGGACGGTGGAGATGTGATCGAATGTGACTGGAAGGGGATGAACGGAGCCTTTGCGCGCTGCCCGAAAGTGTACCACGAAGGTAAGCGAGCCACGGATTTCCTAATGCCGTAGTTGCGACTAATTATCTCTCCCTTTTGTGTGAGTGCAGACTGCTTGGGATACGAAGTACCAGAGGGCAAGACGTGGGTGTGCCCGCGCCATCGCTGCCAGGACTGCGGCATCATTGCTCTGTATTCGTGTCGATTTTGCGTCACGTCGTTCTGCGAGGTAAGCCTCTCGATACTTCTCGTTAGCGGCTTGGACAAATGCTGACCCGGTGCTTATGGTGTTACAGGACCATTTGCCAAAGGATGTTAGAAAGCTTGGCTTAGCAACGAAAGACATCCCCACGTCGACTTATGTTATGTGTCCGAGGTGCAGCGAGCAGGCGCAAGATGCTTTCAAGCAAAAGAAGATTGGGTCCGATCTTCACTCCAAGCTCCTCCGTCGACGTGCCGGCAAGCATTGATGATCAGTATTATTCGAGAAGCTGCATTTTCTCGTCGGTCTTACGCCCTTATGAAATGCTAGCTCTATCTAAACAATGCTTCTTGTCTTTTGGCACAACTCACACCTTTTGATTGTGCAAAATGGTGAGGGGAGGGATGCTTGCGCAAGTTACGACAAGATGAAGCTCGTGTTGGAGTAATCCTCTAGCAGCGGATTGTATCTGAACGGTGAACAGCAACCAATCACGTTAGCCGAGTCCAAGCTTCACGACAGGTGCCTCTCACGTACCTAGTGATAGTCTTGGTCTTCTGTACATCAGCAAACTCCTTCAAAAACTCGGAGGACTTGACGACCGATACCTGCCAAACAAACACGCAGCGTCGTGTCAAGTCTCGATATTGGGCGATCCTCGTCCCCCACAAGGCCTCCTACCTCATCCGACTCGCGCTGGAGCGCGGAGCAGTACGCCTTCTTGAGTCGCTCAAAGTCCGTGGTAAAGAAAATATCGGCGATTCCACCCTGCACCAAGTACGTGTCGTGGTCCTTGGTCTCACCTACGCATTAATAGGTAAGTGGTCACAAGTCAGCTAGCTGTTTAATACTAGTTGCAGACTAAGCCGTGCACGTTGTCATCCTCACCTGTAACCTTCGACGCGACAAGGGGTGCGTTGCCAGCGAAAAGCGTGCCGGACGACGTCGCCGTGGGGCTTAGCGGGTGCTCGATAGCTTTGATCGGCGACTTGTCGTCCAGGTTGGGCGCCGGTAGGGAGTCGAAATCGGCTGCGATCAAGTGGTGCTTCGGGAAGGCCGTGCGCAGCGTGTTCAGCAGCTGCATGGCGCCCGTGGGGACGAAGGCTGAGTGGAGCACTGGGTCGTCCTTGCCCAGCATGCGGCGCACGCGTTGGGCCAGCCCACTGTTGTTCTTGTACGACACGCGCAGCGGCAGCTCGCACCCAAAGTAGCGCAGCGTCTGGCGGATGAGCATGTCCTTGACGGGGCGCGTGGCCTCGCGCAGCAGCGGCGTCGCGTCGGTCTCACTCTCGCCCTGCTGCTGCATCAGCACGACGGTCTCGAACCACTTGCCGTTCTGCAGCGTGACCTTGTCGTGCGGCAGGTTGTCCAGCACCTCGAGCGCCAGGAAGAAGCACTGCGAGTTGACGGGCGCGTGCGTGTCCGCGAAGGTCAGGATGTCCTGGTTGAGCACCGTGCACTGCTGCGGGTGCGCGGCCTCGACGCGCTTGCGCTGCCGCTCGGCCATCACGGGGCTGATCTCGATGAGCGTGTACTTGGTCTTGGCGTACACGTCGGGCGCCTGCTGCTGCAGGAAGTCGAGAATGTGCAGCGCGTTGGACCCGGAGCCACCGCCGATCTCGAAGATCTCGAGCTGGTCCTGGCGCAGGAAGGGCGAGCTGAGCATGTAGCGCGCCAGCGCCTGCGAGTAGTGCGGCGCGAAGACCTCCACGGGCGTGAGCCACGCCTCGGGGCTCTCCTTGTACAGCTGCGCGACGACGTTGCGGTACTCGCCGGCGCCCCAGAGGTTGCCGAAGTCGATGCCCTGCGCTGGCGCGTGCAGCACCTCGCGCTGCGCCGTCGTGAAGTAGCCGGCCTCCTTGGCGTAGAGCGACGCGTAGATGAACTCGCGCGTGAGCACGCCTTCCTCCTCTGGGGCGTCTGCGGCGGCACTGGACGCCACGCCGCGCGCCAGGCATGCCGCCGGCCGCAGCCGGCGTCGAGCAGCGGTAGCGGCGCTACCGCTTAACATGTCAATCGCTGAAAAAAGGGGAAATCCTGTTTCGGGGCCGTATTTTTGAAATAATTCTGTTTCGGGGCCGTAATGTTCAATTGAAGCGTTATTCTTGGAACATACCTTGATTTGTAAAATATATGTAACGTACCCTGTAGCCCAAATGTATCCTGCTGCCAATGTGTTAACAGTAACGTATCTTGTTTTCCAAGTGTTACCTATCTCCCAATCGTACTCTGTAGCCTAAGTGTAGCCCGTAACCTAAGTGTAGCCTGTAGCCTAGTGTAGCCAAACGGGGATGTACGTAACACGCGGAGAATATTGCGCTGAATCGCATGAGGCTTTGATCCATCTATAGCGGCACCCTTCGAGGCGGTTATCGATATCGGAAGCCTTCTCAGCGGTTCCATTGCTCCTGTTCTTCTTCCGTATCTGAACACGCTTCTCCGATCGTCCGGTAAACGCGCTTCGGGCGGTCTTTCATTAGTAGAGGCAACTCGAAGCTCTTCTATCGACGCCACGCGCACTTCGTTCCCCTCCAGTCGCTAGCCCATCGCTTGGAGACATGTAAACAATAGAACCCAGCTGTGCTACACAAACAACCATTAGCACCTTCGTCCTTCATTCACAGAGGAAGCTGGCGGCGCAAACACACGCTCGCTGTGGTCGCGGTGGCTAACGGCGGAGCTCTCTCTCTCTCCGTCAGGTGTCGGGGCGCGGCGCTGCTTAAACGGGGGCATTGTCGCTCTTTTGGCTCGGTAAACCATCGTACTTAGCATACCCTGCTACCGGTACTACCAGTAGCTTACTGGTTATGTCACAACGATTGGTGGTCTTTAGTGGCCATGCAGGAAGTCAATTGCGATGGCTTCACCTGTGGGCGCGTCTAACGTAATAAGGAGATGCTTGAATTTGCAGTGGTTACCTATGTCGCGCGGGTACGTCTCCCTTTCAGCTGTACGGTATTAACATGCAGTGTATGGATACTGAATGCTGAATAGAAAGCGGATCTGTTGCTTACCTGTTGCTACCTGCTACAAGGTAATGGGTTGCCCGCTTCCAAACGTGCGAGAGCCACGAAAGCAACGGAAGAAGCACCAGAAAGATCCCGAGACTGCTATGCGAGGCGGTGTTATGCCATCGTAAGCTTGTATGGCACAGTTACGGGCTACACTAGGCTGCAGGCTACACTTAGGCTACAGGGTACACTTAGGCTACAGTTGGGAAACACGATACATGACAGAGTGCACATTGGCAACAGGATACACTTGGGCTACAGGGTACGTTATGGGTATTTTCCAAATCAAGGTATGTTCCAAGAATAACGCTTCAATTGATTTTTGTTTTGTTTTGTTTTGGCATTGAGGTACATTGTTGTCACTTAACTTCGTGGCTAACGACATCGATGACCTTGACGGAGGTATTTTCCAAATCAAGGTATGTTCCAAGAATAACGCTTCAATTGATGTTTTGTTTTGGCATTGAGGTACATTGTTGTCACTTAACTTCGTGTTTTGTTTTGGCATTGAGGTACATTGTTGTCACTTAACTTCGTGGCTAACGACATCGATGACCTTGACGGAGGTCGTCTCTAACCGATCTCCCTGCTTTATTACCCCTAGTGGCTACACACTCAGGGCTGCCCCCAACCGTTAAGGTGTGAAGGCCCCGAACCCCGAAGCGTTCTCATCGCTGATGTGCTCCAGCCAGTGCCCCACGTCACTGGCTGCGTAGGCATGAAGATCTTCCCAGATCGAGTCGGAGCCGATGACTCGAGTGGGTTTACATTGCATGCTACGCCGTGTATTCATCGCCAGGTTGGCGAGCGCATCGGCCATCTTGTTGAAATCGCGTATGTGATGCTGCCAGCTGATCACGGACAGTTGATCCGCAACCCGCCGACTTTGCCAGTATAGCTGAGTGAGGTGTTTAGCCTTTGGTGGTCGCCGCTTCTGCTGCTGATGGATGATAATTTTGCTATCCCCAGTGGTCTCCAATTGTGGCGATGACAGGCCTTTAACCCCATAGGCAGCCCCATGTTCTCTGCAATGTTGTTCGTTGTGGAAGGTGCCGCGTATGACATGCTGATAACCCAGCAGATTTCGAAAACACCCCACCCTTCGCCGACCCGAACCACTGCCGCTCCATTCCCTCCAGGCCCGGGAAAACAATTGAACATTACGGCCCCGAAACAGAATTATTTCAAAAATACGGCCCCGAAACAGGATTTCCCCAATAATATAAGGAGGTTGCACTTGAAATTTGTATTGAATCGATACCTACCTTTTGTGTGGGCACACATATTCCGGTCCGGGAATTAATCCCTATTGGGCTGTACGTACTACTGCCGTAGCACTACCAGGATAACCCGGTTAAATGAGAGGATTAACTTGATCTAACAGACAGACAGACAGATATCCGCCCGCAAAAACCAGGGAGAACGAGGAAGGTGAGGGAGACGCTACCGCCGCAGCTACCGCAGCTACAGCTAGGACCATGTCGAAGGCGTGCACCCTGGAGAACGGCGTGCTGAACCTGGCGGTGCTGCGCGAGGACTCGCGGCGCGAGCTGTTCTCGATCCTGGACTCGATCGGCAAGGACATCTGCTTCGTGCTGGACCCGGAGCTGAACGGGCCGCTGAACCACGTGCTCGTGGACGGCACGGCGGTGCTCAAGGACCACGGCGTGAAGGACTTCCACGCGTTCGGCAAGACGGTCAAGACCAGCTGCGAGTTCGTGCTCTTCCTCGTGCGGCCGTCGGTGCGCGCCATGCGCTACGTGGCTAAGTACATCCGCGACCTGGGCGCGAGCGGGTCCTCCTCGTCCAAGAAGCGCTTCCACCTGTACTACGTGAGCCGCCGCACGCTCGTGTGCGACGAGGTGCTCAAGAAGGAGGGCGTCTTCGGCAGCCTCAGCGTGGGCGAGTACAAGCTGGACCTCATCCCCTTCGACGACGACGTGCTCACGCTCGAGCTGGACGCGTGCTTCAAGGAGTTCTACGTGGACGGGGACAAGACCAACCTGCACACGGTCGCGGCCTCGCTTGTCAAGCTGCAGACCGTCTTCGGCATGATCCCGCACGTCAAGTACAAGGGCACCATGGCCAAGGTCATCTACCAGATGATGGTTCACTTCCGCCGCGAGCAGGAGGTGGCCGGCAACCCCATCGGCGTGCTGGACCCGGAGATCGACACGCTCGTGCTCATTGACCGGAACGTGGACCTCGTGACCCCCATGTGCTCCCCCATGACGTACGAGGGACTCCTCGACGAGATCCTCGGCATCACCCACGGGTTCATCACCGTGGACGCCGAGCTCATCGCCGACGATGACGGCCCCAACTCGGCCAACAGCAACCGACCCGCCCAAGTGTCCGTGCCGCTCAACTCGAACGACAAACTCTACGCGGAGGTGCGCGACTACCACGTCGAGCGTCTCGGCATGAACCTGCAGCAGCAGGCGCGCGAGATCCGCGAGCGCTACGACGAGTTCCGCAAGAACCGGGACGCCTCCATCAGCGAGATCCGCGAGTTCGTCAAGCGCATCCCAGGCCTCAAGCAGAACTACCAGTCGCTGCAGCAGCACATTAACTTGGCCGAGCTGATCAAGAAGACGACCGACTCCAAGAGCTTCCGTGACCTTAAGGACGCTGAGAACCTCGTGCTCACGGGGGATACGATTTTCGAGCAGCTGGAGGAGCGGATCGGTTTCCAGGAGCCGCTGCTTGGCGTGCTGCGCCAGTTCTGTCTGCAATCTGTCGCCGCGGGTGGCATCAAGACCAAGAACTACACGCACCTGAGTCGCGAGCTTGTGCAGACGTACGGCTTTGAGATGATGCTGGCGCTCAGCAACCTTGAGAAGGCAGGACTGCTCAGTCGGCGCGATACTCTGTGGACGGAGGCCAGCGGTTTTGGACTCGCTCGGAAAGCCTTCCGTCTGCTCAACGAGGATGTGGATCCGCGCAATCCGCGCGACATCGCCTATGTCAGTCGCAGTCACGCCGCCGGGTACGCCCCGCTGTCTGTGCGCATTGTTGAGAGCGCGATTAAGCCGCGCGGTTGGAGCGCCGTGCAGGAAGGCCTGCGTCAGCTACCTGGACCCTCGGGAGAAGTCACGCAGACTACAAGCAAGAATTCGAGCGAGGACCCGGCGGCGCCTGCTGCCGCGTCCAAGCTGGACAACTTCGGCAGCGAGGAACGCAAGGTGCTGCTCGTGTACTACCTGGGTGGTGTGACCTTCATGGAGATTGCTGCGCTGCGTCATCTGTCTCGCCAGCCTGACTGTGAGTTTTTCGCTTTGTTTTAGTCTTCTTGTCTGCAGCTTGTTTTTTCCTCACGTTTGGTTGTGTTTTCTGCTTGCACAGGCCCCTACGACATCATCGTGGCGACAACTAAAATCGTGAACGGCGACACGCTGCTCAAGTCGTGCTTTGACAAGGAGGTGCTGCGCTTCCTGAAGCTGTAACTCGTGCGCGGCTGACGGATAGAGGAAGGCAAAAGTATAACGTTTGCGTGGTTTTAGGTTTTGAATATGGTTGCCGCCCGAGGCATACATGTATTGTCTTCTCTGCTCATCGTCGTAGTGTTCCAACCGCGGTCTTGCCACCCTCCTTACGCTCGAGCTTGCAAATGTAAATGGCCTCGTCGTTGTACTCAATAGCATCCCCAGTGTTATTGCTGGAGCTCGAAGGACTCGAGTCTGCAGCGTAGACAGCAATGCTGAAGTGATTGGCAGCCGTCTCGAAGAAGACCTTTTCCTTGCTGGGGTTTGCAACAATGGTGAGGAAAGTACCATAATGCTCAACGGTGAACGAGGGGAATCTAGTACGTACGTTGGCAGGCGTTGCTTGTAGGCAAGCAGCACGACGGGATGTTGTCGTGGTTGCTCCTCGTCCTGCTGTCCGGGCTTCGAGGGGGTTGTCACGTCCAGCAAGGTTGAAAGAAAAGCGGAGTGGGAAGCTGACTCATACAGGCAGTCCGAAGCCACCACGACGTCGACCTGCCGGCCGGCAATGACAGCATCCGCAGGCTCGCCCCTACGGCAACACAAGTATTCACGTGAGCTCTCGGTGTGACCCACAGAGGGCTTATCAATCGCGGCACACCAGCACAGCGCGTGGACAGCTAAACGTTCGCTGGCTGCGAGTGAGGCCGCCGAAGCGTGTAGGGCCGCAGCAGCTCGAGCATTTGAGCAGGTCAGCGGCAAGACGCTCTCGAGATCCGTGAGCAGCAGCGAAGATACGTCGCCCGTGCTTGCGAGTGCCAGCCCCACCGCGCCTGGGCCTGCACCCAGCTCCAGTACATGTCGATGCGTTACGAGCTGCGGCTCGGCCTCGAAGAACGACACCATTGCACGCGCCTGTTAATGTCCGAAAGAGGAGAGAGAGAGTCAAAGAGGGCAGCGGCAACACCATCCCGAACGCACGCGATCCAGAGCAATGACACGCACGCAGTTCCACACGACGCCAGCAATGCCGTGCTTGGCCAGGTCCTGGCCGACGACCAACGACGACGGCGCAGTTTGCAGCTCAACCGTTGTGGAGGGAGCACTCGCCTGCACGTAGTTGACGCCGAGCTTCGGGCCTGTCGATGGATGCACTACTGCACGCTCAAAGAGAGCAGCCTCCCAGTGTTCATTCCAGCGCGGCATACTCTCTCCAGCAAGATGAAGAGTCACGACGAGATCCGCGCCATTTCGATACACAAACCACGGCATGTATTAATGCCACCAGGAGCTAGTTACTACAGGACTACGACCCCCTTCGCACTCATCTGCCTACCATCTACTGCAAGTGCGAGGAGGGCTGGACGCAACCCGGCCGGCCATGCCTACTCTCTCTCTTGACGCAATTTACTTCTGCTCCAGCTCGAGGCGGGCCAGGTGCAGCGAGCTCACGAGGCCGATGGCCGGGTGGAACGACGCGCGGATGTACTTCTCCACGGGCGGCTGCTGGCCGTACTTGTTCACGCGGGCCACGAACTTCTCGCGGATCAGGTCGAACAGCTTCTCGCGGCGCGCGATGCCGCCGCCGATCACGATCACGTCCGGGGACGTGATGAAGGTCACGTTGATGCACAGGTTGGCCAGGTAGTGCGCGATCGTGTCCCACACGGGGTCGTCGTCCGTGATGTTGGCCAGCTCGCGGCGGTCCACGCCCGTGCGCGCGGCGATGGAGCCCGAGGCCACCATGCCCTCGATGCAGTCGCCGTGGAACGGGCACACGCCCTTGAAGCCCGTCTCGACGTCCTGCGGCGCCTTGGGCACGATGATGTGGCCGCCCTCCGGGTGCATGAAGCCGTGGATGGCGCTGCCGTTCGTGCACACGCCGACGCCGACGCCCGTGCCCACCGTGATGTACACGGCGCTGCTGATATCGCCGTGGCCGCCGTACGCCACCTCGTACAGCGCCGGCGCGTTCACGTCCGTGTCGAAGCCGATGGGCACGTCCGGGAACGCGCGCTTGAACACGCCCACGACGTCCGTGTTGCCCCAGTTGGGCTTGGGCGTGCTCGTGATGTAGCCGTACGTGGGCGACTTCTTGTTGAGGTCCACGGGGCCGAACGACGCGATGCCGATCGAGTCGAACTTGCGCTCCTTGAGCCACGCCACGACGGCGCCCATGGTCTCGTCGGGCGTCGTCGTGTCCACCTCGAACTTCTCCAGGATGTTCTCCGGGTGGTCCTCGGCGATGGCCGCGACCCACGTGGTGCCGCCCACTTCGACTCCGGCGAAACGAGGCATTGTCTTGGGTTGGGTGGGTCTTGTAGTAGGTCTTGTTGTTGTGGCGCTTGCTTGGTACGAAACGAAATGCAAATGAATGGTCTGGAAACTGGTTGCTGCAACGGATAGACGCAGGAAGGTCTGGAGGGCTTGAAGATACTTTGCTCGAGTTGAAGTCGTGCTGACGTACTTGCGCCGCGACTATGTGATTCTGAAGTTGTTCCGGCTCTTTGAACTTCAAGGATGAAGTTCATAGACACGCGCGGGCTTTGATTGACAAGCATGGGGCTCACTTTGGGCAGTGCGATGTGGGAAGCGCCTGCTCTGCCAATTCAGAGCTGCCGCCGCGGAGCCGTGTATGGCAACCACATAAAGCGAAAGCTGCCTATGAAGTTGCTGCGCGGCGCGGCGCCGTGGAGAGCGTGACTTTGCAATGCTGCATCGTAGGGGAAGGTCAAGTAAACTGAAGCGTGTTAGCACCCGGTCGCGCACGACAACATGACGTAGAGGGTGTTTACAAGTGGAAACTACAAGCAGCAGCCCGCCCACGGCCACTGTACGCCACGCGGCGCTCCACCGTCGGGCCATACTGTACAATAGCGATTGTCGAGCTGCCGAATGCTGCAGCTGCTTCTCTTCGCCATGCTTCAAAGCGGTCGCGGTCGGCATTTCCGCTCCCTCTTCATCAGCTACCGTAGTGCCACGCTCCGCGAACTTCCAGCAGCGTTACCTCGTGCGGTGCAACCTGATCTTGCGGCGCCGGCTTTAGAACCCATGTGAAAAGTTCCAGATGCCGGCCGCTGTCGCATAGTCAGCCGGGTCTCGGTGCTTCCTGGCCGATTTGAGCTTGCGCTTCCACGCGGATTGCACACGCTTCCGCTCGGTGGTGGTCACTGGCCGGGCCACGGGCCCGGGGCCCGAAGCCTTGAGCGCCGAGGCCACGTTCCCTCTTTGTGACGCTTGAACTTGATCCCCCATCCGACTCGGATTCCGAGGCCGCGCGAGGAATTAAGTGACCCGCCCGAAACAGCTGCTTGAACGTTGGGACCAAGCAGCCATCGGGACGGATGTCCTGCTGGCCCGTACTTCCCCCTCAGGTGCGCCGGGCGGGGGGGTCACCTCCACGCCGCGCGCCGAGTGGATCCACTCACGACTCATTCTGGAACTTCCCAAGTCCCAAGCAAGTCCCTCACCCCCCAAGCACCAAGAAGATGCCTCGTTTCGCCGGAGTCGAAGTGGGCGGCACCACGTGGGTCGCGGCCATCTCCGAGGACCACCCGGAGAACATCCTGGAGAAGTTCGAGGTGGACACGACGACGCCCGACGAGACCATGGGCGCCGTCGTGGCGTGGCTCAAGGAGCGCAAGTTCGACTCGATCGGCATCGCGTCGTTCGGCCCCGTGGACCTCAACAAGAAGTCGCCCACGTACGGCTACATCACGAGCACGCCCAAGCCCAACTGGGGCAACACGGACGTCGTGGGCGTGTTCAAGCGCGCGTTCCCGGACGTGCCCATCGGCTTCGACACGGACGTGAACGCGCCGGCGCTGTACGAGGTGGCGTACGGCGGCCACGGCGATATCAGCAGCGCCGTGTACATCACGGTGGGCACGGGCGTCGGCGTCGGCGTGTGCACGAACGGCAGCGCCATCCACGGCTTCATGCACCCGGAGGGCGGCCACATCATCGTGCCCAAGGCGCCGCAGGACGTCGAGACGGGCTTCAAGGGCGTGTGCCCGTTCCACGGCGACTGCATCGAGGGCATGGTGGCCTCGGGCTCCATCGCCGCGCGCACGGGCGTGGACCGCCGCGAGCTGGCCAACATCACGGACGACGACCCCGTGTGGGACACGATCGCGCACTACCTGGCCAACCTGTGCATCAACGTGACCTTCATCACGTCCCCGGACGTGATCGTGATCGGCGGCGGCATCGCGCGCCGCGAGAAGCTGTTCGACCTGATCCGCGAGAAGTTCGTGGCCCGCGTGAACAAGTACGGCCAGCAGCCGCCCGTGGAGAAGTACATCCGCGCGTCGTTCCACCCGGCCATCGGCCTCGTGAGCTCGCTGCACCTGGCCCGCCTCGAGCTGGAGGCCGCCCCGTAAGTGCGAGCGTGTGATCCTGCACGCGTGTGGTCATGCACGATATGAATGCAGCGCCGGATATTGCGGTGTAGTGTAGTGCACTGCAGTGATGTTCGCTGGCATCGATACGTTTGACAAGCGTAAAAGTCGTCGGGCCGACTTCGTCCGAGTAGAGTAGGCTGTTGTAGCTGAGGTCGGTTGGTCCAATAGTGACGGAAATATATGTATTGTTTGATAGTATGAAGGCGAAGGCTGTGGCCGACGGTGTTGGGCTGTTGGGATGGAACGAGACGTTAGATGTTCATCTTGTGTGTCCTGTGTGGAATATGTTGGGCGAGTGGAACATGCCAGTGCCAACACGTGCAACAGTATAGTGAGTCACTATATGTACTATGCTCGTTTGGTAGGTAACGACGCCGCGAGCGAGCTCGATCGTGTCATGGCTACACTCGCAGAGGTGTGACTCGGTGGGGCCTGCCCGCCGCACTGCAAGACGGACAAGCTTTGTCCGCTTGGTCTCCTCTATGCAAAATCTATCCACCGCTTGCAGTTGAAGCTGCGCGGTGAAGCGTGAATTCGAAACGTGTCTTCCGGCCTGGAAGTTCCCGGGCCAGCCCTGACACAGCATGGCATAGCACCGCATTCCTCACTCAAGGGAGCTCGAACACGGCACTGCAGACCTCCAGCCGAGTCTGGAGACCTCGAGGTCAGCAACCACGCTGCAACCAGACGGTCTGAGTCAGCGGGTGCTCCGTGCGGGGGTTAATGTTGCGGTAGATAAAGCTCAAATGCTGGCCGGACGCTTTTCAACAAGCCCCTAGGAAGCCCCACTCAGGCAGGCCGCTCACCCCCGACCCGATTGCAAATATACACTCACACGCACTAGCCTCCACTCGCGCCGTTGCAGTCGTCCCAAGTGTCGATTCGAGCTCGTGCGGTGCTGGATGCTTGTCAAGAGATGCCTGTCAACTCCCGGCTGCTTGGAGGACCCCCGTGTATCTGCGCGCATCCTCGTTGAAGTTGACTTCAGAGATGCATAGCCCAGGCAGCCAGCGCTCTGCTCTCTCATTGCAAACGTCAGTGACCTCGAATCGAGGAGGATCTGCTCGCCTCGCCTCGGGCCACCGGCGCGGTAAAAGCAGTGAGAGAGTCATTTTGCATTTCGTTTCGTACCAAGCAAGCGCCACAACAACAAGACCTACTACAAGACCCACCCAACCCAAGACAATGCCTCGTTTCGCCGGAGTCGAAGTGGGCGGCACCACGTGGGTCGCGGCCATCGCCGAGGACCACCCGGAGAACATCCTGGAGAAGTTCGAGGTGGACACGACGACGCCCGACGAGACCATGGGCGCCGTCGTGGCGTGGCTCAAGGAGCGCAAGTTCGACTCGATCGGCATCGCGTCGTTCGGCCCCGTGGACCTCAACAAGAAGTCGCCCACGTACGGCTACGCCCAAGCCCAACTGGGGCAACACGGACGTCGTGGGCGTGTTCAAGCGCGCGTTCCCGGACGTGCCCATCGGCTTCGACACGGACGTGAACGCGCCGGCGCTGTACGAGGTGGCGTACGGCGGCCACGGCGATATCAGCAGCGCCGTGTACATCACGGTGGGCACGGGCGTCGGCGTCGGCGTGTGCACGAACGGCAGCGCCATCCACGGCTTCATGCACCCGGAGGGCGGCCACATCATCGTGCCCAAGGCGCCGCAGGACGTCGAGACGGGCTTCAAGGGCGTGTGCCCGTTCCACGGCGACTGCATCGAGGGCATGGTGGCCTCGGGCTCCATCGCCGCGCGCACGGGCGTGGACCGCCGCGAGCTGGCCAACATCACGGACGACGACCCCGTGTGGGACACGATCGCGCACTACCTGGCCAACCTGTGCATCAACGTGACCTTCATCACGTCCCCGGACGTGATCGTGATCGGCGGCGGCATCGCGCGCCGCGAGAAGCTGTTCGACCTGATCCGCGAGAAGTTCGTGGCCCGCGTGAACAAGTACGGCCAGCAGCCGCCCGTGGAGAAGTACATCCGCGCGTCGTTCCACCCGGCCATCGGCCTCGTGAGCTCGCTGCACCTGGCCCGCCTCGAGCTGGAGGCCGCCCCGTAAGTGCGAGCGTGTGATCCTGCACGCGTGTGGTCATGCACGATATGAATGCAGCGCCGGATATTGCGGTGTAGTGTAGTGCACTGCAGTGATGTTCGCTGGCATCGATACGTTTGACAAGCGTAAAAGTCGTCGGGCCGACTTCGTCCGAGTAGAGTAGGCTGTTGTAGCTGAGGTCGGTTGGTCCAATAGTGACGGAAATATATGTATTGTTTGATAGTATGAAGGCGAAGGCT